TCGCTGAACTCTAACCAAAAGAGGGTGTCCGTAATCAGACAAAAGTCTTTTAATCCAGTTTAAAACGCCCTGGATCCTCAAACCTTGCTGCTAAGTCTGGATAAGAGGCGGCCCGGGTCCCTCGATCCCTTACTTCGCACCCTCGATCCCTTTCTAATGCGAACGTTCGTCTTTCTGGGGAAGAAACCGGGCCCGGAATCCGGCAAACTGTTGCGCCTAACCCACACCCACACGGCTCTGTCAGTTATTTTTCCAGCGCACGATTTTTCCTCGGGGTGAGTACAATCCCCGGCAAAAAGCGTCCGATCCCGGCAAATCGTCTGTTATTAGCGGACTACGGATTTTATACGTTTATGATAAAAACCGAACGGATCGGGCACGAAACGGTAAAACCATTTAAAGACGAGTTTGAAAATTATTTCGAACTCGATAACATAATTATAGAACGAAGAAAATGTCTATGTAGATCTTTCAACACATTAAAGGCGGGGGATCTTGACGAAAGTATGCTAGGTAACGGGGCGACCGCCCCGCCTCGTTTTTCGTCCTGGAGCGGGCGATATTTTGTGTAATCACGAAAAAATTTAGACGTAAAAAAGTTTATTTAAACTCTTAAAACTAAAAGAAATATTAAAAAAGAACCAAACACTAATTACAAAAAATGTTTTAAAGTACATATTTATGAGAAGTCGAGATAAATCGTAGTACTACGACTCCCCGCCTTTAATGTGTTAATATTATAATTAATGAAAACAATTTATGTTTTACATAAAAATCCGCGATCCAATAGTTAATAGACTTTTACGTCGCCTGTGTTACAAAGTAACAGAGTATAATACGCGAGCATAATTACAAAGTACGAGTAACAATATCAATTATTACTATAATTATTATAAAATGATGCGAAGACCCTCGATAAGATAAATGCGTCACACATGATCACACAATAATAAATTACACGCAATAAGAAATTCGTGTTGGCCAGACCGGCAGACCGTGTAAAATTAGCGCGGCGTGACGGAGCTGTTAAACAAATAAATTCTCGCATTGCAACGCGTTTTAAACGATGCGCGTTGCCCAACACGTCGGGCCAACCTCCGCTTTTAGTCTCCGCATCAGAACTAAATAAATCCATCAGGTAAAGTTTATCAACCGATGGTCCCGGCGAACAATGGAGATCGAGTGTGCCCATATGTCGCGCGTCACCGAGCCTCGTTCGACGAACGCGGGGGCCACGTATAATTATCCTTCTGCCGGGGCAATCCAGCTCAGATTTCCGGTTATCCGGTGAACTCGCACACGGCTATTCCATCGGCGCGCAGTTATTCGGCCGCCGTCGTCGTCGGGCGAATATTCAATTGCCGGGAACAAAGTTTCGAGTTTCAGGAGCCGCGTTTCCGCGAATGGAGCACACGCCATGTTGCGAGCGCACTCGAAAACTCGACGAGGGCCCTAGGCAGCCTCTCTCGAACTAGCCAACTCGTCGCGTTGTTTGTTCGATCGGCGCCATTGTACCTCGATTTCGCAACGCCGGGATCACCGATTAGGGTCCCACGGATCGACGCTGCGACGACGACGACGACGACGGCGACGGCTTGGCCGGAAAATGCCGAAGCTCGATCGGAAACGAGAATCTCGACTGCTTTTTGTTTCGCTCGATTCTGGTCTGTCGCATCCCGTTTCTACGATTACGTCCGGTTTCTACGGCTCAATTTGAGCGGTCTAGAATCGTGATGGCGTGAACGAGATTTTCGACAATTTTTACTTGTGTCATTTAGGTGTAATTTATTTATTAAACAGACGAGTGAGACGAATTATAAAGTCACTATAAATTAACTTTGCTCTAAATTCTCTTTAGGATAAATTTGGTCAGTGAACAATACACGCATGTTATAATTGTTATAATGTTATAACTATTATTAATTATTATAATGTTATAATTGAATAAGAACACGGTGGAAAAAGTTTAGGAATGAAAACTAAATAAATTTGGAATAAACTAAAATAAATATATGTAGTAATTTGTTCAATATTTAAACAATATTGAATCTGTAGAGACTAGGAAAGGACTGAGCGTGATGGAGACAGAGAATATCGCGTACCGTATCTACAACTAAGATTATAACTACTCGCTTAACTCTACGACTCGTAACGTTCCTCGCTCGACGACTCTCGAACACACTCTGCCTGCCCTTTTCTCAAAACGTGGCGATCGCATCCGCCGGGTCTCCGTTGCCAAGGGTTTTCCCATCTGACCCGGCCTTCGCCAACGTTTCTCTTTTTATTGCCTACCCTAAACACAAAGTCTTAGAACTACGGTCTTAAGCCTAACACTCTTCCTCGTCCTAAACATACCTAATAAATTACGATACTACATATATATATATATGTAGTATCGTAATTTATATATATATATATTATATATAATATAATAATAATAATATATATATATATATATATATATATATATATCGGAATATTTTTCTGAGCGATCGAGGCGATTCGGTGCGAGCCATGGGCGCTAGTTATTTATCACGGGGGTGGCGGCATTGGATCAGAGAAATACATGAATTTCAAAAAGGCAACGCTTACAAATATAAATTCACGTTTCCTAGCGAGCCGAGAGCGACTTTTCTAGAAGCAGCTTTGCGCGATGGAATAAGGGCTGCCTCGGCGCGGTATTGGTTTCGATGCTCGAAGGGATGAGCGAGATTGAAATAGTGAATAGGGATGGATGAAAGAATTGTATTGTGCAATGGGTACATCTTTGGAGCGGGGATTCCTGGGCAACCGTGTAACTTATTCCCATGAAAAGGATATATCCAATACCGAGCAGCGAGAAAAACCATGGAGGAAGAAAACTCGCGCAAGATAAATTGCTTACTCCGGCGAACCCGGAATGCCTCCGACGAAGAATTATACCCGAAGAAAATCTAATTGAGTCGGAATCTAATTGTGACCTTTACAAATTTACTATTCCACCTTTTGCGGTAAATAGAGATTTTCTGCGCTTTTTACAACAATGAGTAGCTCGAATGCAAAATATTAAATGCATTTGAAGAGTTGGAGCATGTTTTTTATTGAAAAAGAATTGATTTTTTAATGGAATTTTAAAAGGATATTTTGATGCAATTTTCTGTTAAGAATTGTCTTCCTCTTGTTTATTACCTTATCTGTTATATTTATTGCTTCACATCGTGTTTTCATTTTTCTAAATTCCTACTACGATAATTAGATTTCTATTTTAGTCTTTAATCGCGACTAACAATCGAAAGAAATTCGATCGTTAATAGCGACTAATGATTAACAGCGATAATTCAGTCGTTAGTTATTGATGAAATTTTCGCGCTACTCCGCTGCCAAGTACTCGGCCTGTTAATGACTAAAATTGTAAAAGTACAAACATCGTTAGAGTTTCGTCGTTAGGCGAAATCAAAGTTTCATTGTTTCTCAGTGCTTTATTACGGCGAGCTTGCGAAGTTCCTGCATACGGAAACATGAAAACTTCGAAGCTTCGGAGTTCCTAAATCTTGAAAATTTGGAGCTCGTTCAGTGTTTCGTAATACAAACTGCTCTGAGTACGGAAATTCCATGTTTCCACTGTCCAAAATATCAAAACTTTCTGTAACTAGTAAGTGTAGGGTATATTGTAGTAGTTGACGAAGGAAATTCCCGCGTTCCCGAATTTCGTCCTTTCGCGTATCTTCATACGAAATTAAGTGTGCTATAACGTCCCGAAGTACAAGTTGAATAATTTCAAATAATCATAAATCATTGAGGAATTTTCTGGTACCAATAACACAACAGAGACACCTTCTCTTTAAATATTAACTTGGGTTCCTGAAAAATTTCTATTTCTATTTTATTTCGTATTAAAAGCTTCAGCTTACATGCTTTTATTATTTCACACGTTGTCTAAAAGTTAAATATAATGATTTATCTAGAATTCGATTATGCATCCTTCTGCATATTTCGTGAAAATAATCGTACCAGTTAAGTCAATATTTAAACGAGTAGTAGGTAAATATTCAAAGTGGACATTGAAACTCTGCATATTTAAATTATGCAATTATGGTAATTATGGTCATTTCAAGATTAACAATTTGATGCCAAATCCTATTCGGTTCAAGTAATTCTACCTGACGTTATGTCAAAATTATATTTTGTTTCTCATCGAACATTAAACATTGTCGAGTTTCTGGTAAATGATCTAAGAAAATTTACATTTGGTGCAAAGAGTTAAATTATCAATCATATGAATAATTTTCTGAAGTCTCGAAGGATTTTTAACGCTCGAGCGGCAAGAAACATTAATTATAGTATACATTTTTCGTTTGTTTTTCTATAGACCTTAATAAAACGGTATATACATATATGTATAGAAATTGAATTTAATTGTCGGAAACTAGATAGTCGAATAACAATATTTATACTTCATAATAATATAACAGTTGCATTTCTTAAGTGCTTATCAAACATTATTTTGACGACTTTTTCATTTTAAATAACATATAAATCATATAAATATATATAATATCATCTAATAATATATCATATTATTATTATCATATTATTATCATAAATATATCACATAATAAATATAGTTAACATATAATATCATATAATTAATAATTAGTGACTAATTATCCATTAGTCACTAATTGGTTAGTCACTAATTATCCATTAGTCACTAATTAGTTAGTCACTAATTATCCACTGAAAAAAAATGAAATAACGCAAGAAAAAAAACAGTGTAAAGAATTGGTAACAATATCAAAAGTATAATTTCTTAAATAAAGTCACCGTATTCGATTTAAATGAAATTACAGTATTCACTATCCTGTTTCGCGCTTAAATTATTGACTTTCGAAACGTGATAACAAACGTGAAACTCGCCGTCTGTGCGCCGATCGAAAGAAAATACGCGCGAACCGTGATTTTTGCGCAGATAATGCCGCGATATTCGAGGTGTATCGTTGATGGATTCGTTCTCTGTGCAGGTCTGGATATTCGGTGATCTATGGTGTTCCGTCTGGCTGGCGGTGGACGTATGGATGTGCACGGCATCGATATTGAATTTGTGCGCCATCAGCCTCGATAGATACTTAGCGGTGACCAGGCCAGTCAGTTATCCTCAGGCAAGTACCATTCGCCGATTATTCGATTTCGAGAAACAGGTGTCCGGGCCCGGAACGGTCGATAAAGCCATTCATCTCCTTCAATTTCTCCTTTATTCCCGCCAAATACTCCCTTTAACATCCAATGTTTCCCTTCCACGGCTTAATTGATTGATATTCCCTCGGCCGTGCCCCGCGCGCACGACGACCCCCCTCGTTCGCGTACACCACTAATTTAGGAGTTCGTTAGATACACGTAATTAATTGGAAACAGTTCTCGAATCGATACACATTCGAACTATCGATTTAAATTCAATTCGCCGGGGCGTGTACTGCAGGTGAAAATACAGTTTACGGTGCACGTACCGTTTCGCGAATTTCGTTTGGTACGAAGACCTTTTGATCATTTTGTGCGAATTCAATCGGCCGCTGTTTACAATTAGACAGATTCGATATTGGACGAATTAACTTGAATGCAGCCCGGAATACAGATTCGTGAAAATTAGGTGATACGTTAAAACCAAGAAGAATCGTTCGAGGATGTTAAATCGAAGAATTCGCAAGAAACGGAAGTTCATTGAAAATGCATTTCTTCTTCTTTCAATAATTTTGACAAATCAAGCAAACGCATAAAATCCGCGGGCCAGTGTTCACAATAATCGTAGCAACGAATTTTCTGGATATCAGTGCATCCATTTGCGTGTTTCACTTGCAAGGATCATAAATTCCACATAAAAGTACATTTAAAAGTACATTTTACGTTTCGTAAAAATTTGATTCTACGTTTCACCAGATGCAAACGAACGGCATCGTTAATGGGAGTCACGCGCCGCATCAAGTTACAGGAAATGTATTTAAACGATTTACTTGCGATTTTGAATCCCATTTATACGAACGGGGATTTATTAAATTTGATACATCGTTTTATCGTCGAACGATTCCTGGTGTCGTTTAAGCGTATCGTAAAACGCAGACGAAGTTTCATGAAAGTTATTTAATATTAATCCAGAAATGTAATTCGGATTCGCATAAATTTTAATTCCCGTTCTACTTCCGCGAAACGACCGGAGCTGTAAATTATGCCGGTTTTGAAGCGAGGCGAAATTTCGACTTTTAAATCTGTACGCAAAAGTCGCGTTTGGCCGTCAGCCACCGGCGAAATGTGTAAAATATCGAATGTTAAATTCTGCAATTTATGCAAAGAAATTACGTAGAATTTTTCGGTTGAGAAATTCGTCAGACGGACGCGGTGGACGCGGTTCCTAGAGAGATTTGGATGTTTCTGTGCTTAAATATTTTTATATTTCATATTTCGCTCAATTTTTACCGGCATAAAAATACAGGTTAAAAGATTGATAAGTTTTGTAAATTGGTAAATCTTCAAAATGTATAAATTTTGTAAATTGGCGAATCTTGTAGACCGGTATTTTACAAATTAATAAATATTGTTAATTGGCGAATTCTACAAATTGGTGAATTTAGAATACCGGTAGATTTTATATTATATATACATTGATGCGTTTTTTAGATTGGCAAATCTTGCGAACCGATGAATTCTGTAAATCGGTAAATTTTGTAAATTCTTCAATTCTGTAAATTGATCAATTCACAGAATTGATCGCTCTAAGAAACGCATGAAATTCACACTTTTTCTGATTAACGTTTCTGTGACAATCGCGTTCGAAACGCAGATAATGTCGCCGAAGAGGGCCAGACTTCTAGTCGCCACCGTCTGGATCCTGAGCTTCGTGATCTGCTTCCCGCCCCTGGTCGGCTGGAAAGACAAACGGGTAATTAGACCGATCCCCGAAAATTGCCAGGCCGATAACGAAGCTGTCTCTCGATTTCCTTATCATATTGTTCCGCAGTCGCATCCTACGTACAACGTGACGTTCGCGCAAAACGGCCCTTTCAACACCACCACGATCCTGGTCCCGGTGAAACCGTGTCCCTGGATCTGCGAGCTGACCAACGACGCCGGCTACGTTGTCTACAGGTAACAGAGAAAAGCGGGGAACAATGAAAACAGAGACGCATAGTTCTCCGAAACTCTCATATCGATTCTGTAATAAATTACGCACGCGTCGGAATTGGACGTTCACCAAACAGGCACAACGAAAACACGATATTCCACCGCGCGGAAATTAAACGGCTCGGATTTATCACAAATTTAACGTTTCGCATTTGACAAGCACCGAAATTTGCATAACGATCCGGCCGGGCTGTTTATCCGGCCGCGATTAAAATAAGGACTTTGCGAATGTTCGCGAGCGACGCGCGATTCTTACAGAGATGCGCGTGGATTTTGTAATGCTCGGTAACCACATGACCGAATTTATTTCGGTCTCATTGTTTATGAAATGTTTCGGATTGAATGAAACGTCTGGCTTGATGAGGTTCCTATGTTGCGGACTCATTACTGTAATGCATTAACGTAATACTATCACGTTTATTAATCACCGGTGAAATATTCGGATACCCTGCTTCGAGGGCCAGCTACGAGCACGAAAACGTATAAATTCGGAATCAAGCTCATCAGGAAACGTGCAAATTCGATGGTAACGCGTGCGAAGCGAATTAAAGTATTATTCGGATCTTCGGTCGGTGCTGGGTAAAATTGCTGGACAAAATATTTTAAATGCTGTTCCAAGTTATCGGCAATTTACTAGTTCGAACGAGACTGAATTTTTAAAGAGACGTTCCGACGAATAGAATCATTTTATTCCGACGGTCTACAATATAGAATGAAGGGGCGAATTTTCGAAACAATTTGATATTTGAAAGAGTGAAGAACATAAAATAAATTAATATAATAATTAATATAAACAATATATAAATATAAATTAAATAATATATATATATATATATATATATATATAAATGTATTAAATAATATATAAATATGAATAATTAATATAAATTAATGAATAGTATTTTCAGTATTCTTTAAGGGAGGTGCTGCTTTAAATACCGCTCTAAAAACTTGGTCCTTGGAGTATTTATCTTGAACAATCTAAAATTATCTTGTACGATCTAAAATGGAATAGAGCCCCTGTCATCAGTACTCTCCGAATAATCCTTCGAAATAATTATCTTCTAAAGAATAAACGATACGATCTAAAATACAACAAATCCTCCGAGTAAAACGTTACCTTAAATGGTATTCTAAAAAACATGTTCTATGAGATATTTATCTTGAGAAATAAACTATACGATCTAAAAAAAATAAAGTAGCCTGTCTTTAGAATCCCCCGAATAATCGTCTGAAATATTTATCTTGACGAATGAAGTTACACGATCTAAAATAAAGCAACTTTATTTTCAGTATGCTCGAGACAAAGTTACTTGAAATGTTATTTTAAAAACGCGATCTATCAAATATATATCTTGAAAAGTAAACTTGCGCGGATACAGAACGGAATACCCTATTCAACCGTCTCCTATTTTTCAAATAAAATCTCGCCAAGCTCTTTAATGATTTCATTTTCACCGAAGCCGTCTTAATAAATCGTGGACTGTCGCGCTTCCCTTCCGTCATTGGCTCTCCGGTGGTCCGTTGGTTCGAAGGAAGACGGTCGGTCGTCGAGAGCAATATTTTCCAGGACAGCGTGGTAATTGAAACGTTTCCGTGGACAATAAAAAAAAAGGAAAAAAAGGAAAACGAAAGTCAAAAGGAAAGCATTCGGTTACGGTTTGCAGAACAGCGAGAATTCTTCGCCGTCAAAGGATATGACGCGGGTGGGAATGGCAAGTGGCGAATGAAATTTTCATCGGTTCCACGTAATTGAATTCCACTGTACCAATTCAGCTTGTCCAGCGCTGAAACAGGAATTATTACGATGTCAAGAGCTGGATCTGAATTTCTGCCAACCGCCGCGCCGGTTCTATTCTTACCGCGTTATCACGATCGGCGCATGCATCAATCCAGGCCGCTTTATCCGCGACGTTTCACCTAAATCAACCACTGAGTGGACGTTTAATGTTCCATCGAGTGTCCGACAAATTTACGATCGTTCCGACGTTACATTATCTGTTTCGTTCCATTCGGGACCGTTTCAAGGGACGTCCAACAAAACGACGTCCAATTTTACACGTTTACACCCACACGCTCCTCTAATTTGTACATTCGTCCACGGCAATGTCGTTATATCGCACGGTTACAATTCCACGGTGAGCGTACATTACAATTATACATAGTTAATAGATGTTTATCACGTATTTATAACGTCATTTGTGTTTCGAATGTCAGTAAGTTTAGCACGAAACGGGATAATGAATGCTGTCGGTTTGACGTAAACGTGGACGTCATTTTGAAACTGGTGTGAATCATGCTCATCAAAATGTTATCGTTTTCCTATACTGTTTAGAGAAATACTGCAAGTTCTATCGTTGATTCGCTAAAGCTGGTTAGCATGATTTCATCTTTTTGGTGAATTGTACTATTATGTGAGCGCGGTTCAGAATAATAGGGTGTCACATTTTCAAACACATTTTGGCTTATGTCTTAAAATGTAATCTATACATACCGAAATATTAATAACGCAAATAAAATAAATTATAATGTTACTACAAATTAACTTCACTCTAAATTATCTTAACAATGGAACTTGGCCAATAAATAAATGTCAATAAAAAATAACACTCCTCGTTTTTCGCAATGAGAAAATTGTGACTATTATATATATATTATTATATTATTATATTATATATACTGTTATAATATAAAATAGAAAAAATCATTATAGAAATGTCTACGTGATAAGCGTTTTACAAATTCGAGGTCTACAGAATTTAGCTTACTCGTAAAACAACCGTAGAAGAATATTGACAAAAATTGATAAATCAAATTGTAAATGCTGTCAAGCATGCTCGGTTATATTGTCAAAAAGTTCGGTCGTTCTCGAGTGTTAAACGTTGAAAGTTCGGTCGAGTAACATCGATGAAGAACAAGAGCCATTAAAATCGTGAGAGATGATCGTCGCCTGTAGCCATCGTAGAGCCACGGAAGCGAAACGCTACCCGGCTAGCGAAGTTTTATTTTATACACAATTTAGCAATCCTTTGAAGACGTGTTTCACGGGCATTATCACGTTGTAACAAAGGCAGCGTTCACAATTACGTTTATTCCTTCCGCGTCCTTTTTGCGCAACGTAGATGTTTCTTTTTCCCCTCTTTATCGAGTTCCTGCGCCAACAACAGGACGAAATTGAAATCGTTAACTAACTCCCGGTAGAAAACCGAAAGATCAAACGAGGATTTCAACAGCCGCGTCCGTTATACGCGGTTTCCGCGTTTCAGGATCTACCGACGGAGAAGAACACCGGAATTATTTCCTTCTGCTCGGAAAATGACATCGGCACTATCCAGTTTTTCTTTTCTTTCGAGAGTTTCGCGGTAATTATCTTGTTCCTTACGATCCCATTCAAACTTTCTACGACCTTCCCGAGGCATTCTTCTAAGCGTTTAATCTTTAAAAAAGAAAGGAACGTTAAATCGATTGTTGCTACATCCAATCTTTAGAAGTACTAGTCATTTCAAATGCCTTCATTCGTACAGCTGATTTGAGAAGTTCTACCGAAAAGCAGAGTTGGGAAGTAATCGATTACTTTTGTAATCGATTACGGAAAGTAATCATGCTTAGGTAATCATAATCTTAATGCAGCAAAGTGCATCTTTCATGTACATTTCGAATGCAGAGGAGAAGTACTTCGTACGTTTTGGATTACGAAAATAATTGTATTTTACATTATGATTTAGTAAGATAGAAATATTTTCTAAAAATATTAATAAATATATATATAAATATATATAATATATTATTAATATATTATTGTATATATATTATTATTATTTATATATATTTAATATATTATTAATATATTATTATATATATATATAATAAATATATAATAATAAAAATCAAATATCTATTTATCATGTGCACACTATTTTGCCCAGCTCTGAATGGCGTTTTCCAATTAAAGTACATTCCTTGGAACAAATCAAATATTTTATTTCCAGAAATACACGGATGATCTAAAATCAAATATCTATTTGCCATTTGCCATTTAAAATACTATTTTACCCAGCTCGGAATGTCACTGTAATTCGTTAATTAATTCGAAAGCTTCGCAAAGATCTACCGGCCGCGTAAATTCGGCTCGCGTAAATTGATGTCGCTTATAAAAATATCGCTCGTAAATAGTGTTATAATTCAGTGCGTGATTTGAGAGACCGGGGCGTATACAATGCAGATATTCGCTAGAGGAATTCCAACTAGGTCCGAAACGATTCATAAAACTCTGTCACTCTGCATGAAGATCTCAGTCTGCAGATCTTTCGGAAGGCAAACAGCAGGGGATGATAAAGTCTCGTCACTCGTTGTTGTCACGTTCCAGTGCCCTGGGCTCCTTCTATATACCGATGCTGGTCATGTTGTTCTTCTACTGGAGAATATACAACGCGGCTGTATCCACGACGAAGGCCATTAATCAAGGCTTCCGCACGACAAAGGGCTCGAAAACTTTCGGCTCCAGGTAAAAAGGGGTGGGAGGCGGCTGCAACGTTCCTCCATTATTCTCGTCGAATTCGAGCTTTTTCGATCAGCTGAACCGGAAGCGGCATCCGGCACGCGTCGCTTCACATTTCCCCCTAATGCGGTTGTTCTGGCGAGCTGTTTTTATTCCACGTCAACGTTTCCGCGACTGCCCTTTATTTTTTTTCTCTCTCTTTCGTTTCCCGGGTTTTGTTTACCGCCCACGCTTCCGACGTTACACGAGTTCTAGTTAGATTTCGAAGGTCCATAGATCACCATGGAAAACCAAACGGGCTCTTGGGGTTTTCAAAGCTCACTCGATACCGGCGCACAGATTCCGAACGGCACTCATTGCGGCACTCGTTTCGCGCGTTCATTTTTGCGTGGTAATTGGAGTAACGGTGTGCTCTAACATTTTATTGAGGTGGACCCAGCGTGGCACGTACGAGCCGCTGGCAAAAACTGCGGTTTAAAGTGTCATCGGTAGACCGCGGATCTTTATGCGAAATATAAATGCCGCGCATCGATTACTAGAAACTAGAGAACTGCATAGACATTTATTCCTTTCGCGAATCATTTTAATTGAGATGCAAGTAATACATATAATAAAATTATGAAATTGTTCCGATAGTGATCACCGTCTTCTGCTTCGTCTACCCGTTTCTGTCGAAAACGAGCAGATCAAATACGAAACGACGAGAGTATTTAAAGAATTTGAAAACACTATTGCATTGTATTCAACTCGTTGAAACGATTAAGAAAAGAAATAAATATCTGTTAAGCTCCAAGCTTTTACAGCAACAGTACACAATTTTTATTTTGCATAAAGATCCGCGGTCCACCGATTTCAAAAAATTTTCAGTATGCATACAAGTTATCGAGATCTATAAAACGCATTTTTTAAATTTTCATTATAGGCTCGGATGAAACACTTGGAAAACGACAGTTTCCTTTTCGTCATAATAACAAAATAAAACAAAAATAGTATTTCAGTCATTGTACAATGCAATATTGGCCTGTTTAACATTTAAAAAAAATACTTAAATTCGTTCAGTCCAGTTTTAAAAAGTTCATTGCGTTTCCACAGGTGTTTGATTACTTTTTGCCAGGGGTTCCTTCCAATCGTTGAAAAATATAGTAACTGGACATCTGGGAAACCTTCCCTGTTAGATTACGCGGGTTAGAATTTTAGGGGTTGTTACGAACCTTGCCCCGCGACATAAGATTTTGGTACGCGGGCTCGATTCGCGATTTGGAAAGCAATGCGTTTCCCGGCGGTTCAACTAGCACCGTGCTTTTCCCCCGCAGATTCGACGAACAAAGGATGACCTTGAGGATGCACAGAGGCCGGGGCAGCGTCCACAACGGCGGCAGCAGCAACAACGGTAGCCCGAGGAGCCCGGAGTCGAACAGCCGTAGCTCGGTGAAAAAGGAGAAGATCAAGATCTCGGTCTCCTATCCGAGCACCGAGACGCTGAATACAAAGTGTAACACTCTCGAGAGGACGCCCTCGAGATGCTCTCAAATCTCGGTGCATTACAGTAACGGGCAGACGCAAAGCCAGCTTTGCCCGACGCCTAGGAGCTCGCATCTCAAGGTAATTGGCGAAATCGACGAAAGTGGAGATCGCCGCGAGATCGCTAATATTGAGATCGTTCCCAGTCGTGTTGTTCCCGTCTTCCACAGCCGTTCTCTCTCGTCTCCGTCCCGCGTGCTTTTTTTCTTCTCGATCGCAGTATTTCGCGAACTTCTCGCGCGCGCCGTTGTTCCCAATGTTTATTCAATGGGCGCGCGTGTGTCATGAACCGCCGGCATTTTCATAATTTTATCGTCGATATTTTTAGCTCCCAGCAATTTTCACGGCTCGGCAATGATTCCGGCGGCCCTGACACGCCCCGGGAATACACTTGAAATTTTAACGAGCGGGAGAACATTATTTCGAGGCAGTTTCGGGAATTGGAACGAACCGCGCGATCGTGGGCGAACGGAAAGATCGGTTAGGCGATTTAAATACTGATAAGCGAGCTGCGGATCCTTCTGCGCTCGTGCAAAATTCGGGAATAGCAAGGAACGCGGGCGTTAGCAATCTGAGAACTAGACTGCGGTTCTTTAGGCAAAATTGTAAGAAACGGAGATTAAATAAAAATAAATGGTTTCTTTTAGATCTACCGGAAAATTCTGTCTGATAATGTCATTGCAAATTTCGATAGGTATGCACATGTTCATTTGAGACATATATTTTTGAAGAATGTTGCTCACAAATTGCCATCACGCTGGCAAGAGGTCATATGTAACGACGGAAATTATATTGTACAATAAATATTACTAAATTTATGAAAAATCTATTATTTCCTTTCATTTCTTAAACGGACAGAACTTTCCGGTAGACCTAATAATAATTTTAATACGTTGGAAATAGTCTGACAATATTGTCTATAGATTTTAGATTTCTGCTAGTCACTTTTGCCATTAATGCATCAAATCAGCAGTTTAGTGATAACGTTTTCATTTTATATTTCATGCAAAAGAGCTTTCAGAAAGTTCTGTTTTCTGCATTCTTAAAAAATGTCATGGGAAAATTCAGATTTATTGTGAAGATACTTATTTATCGTAAAAACTAAGGGAATTTACTTAGGGAATTTTTGTCTCCCTAACATGGAATATTCATACCGAAGTTGATAACATAAGATCACATGGTTGTGCCGCATTATTAAACTAATGGCACTTTCATCGAATCGCACGATAGGTCGTGTTTAACAATTTTTCACAGAAAAACCAAGTGACGACGGGTTACTCGAATTTTTGCAATAATACTGAAATATTCTCATACGCGTTCTAAAAAATTCTGTCGTCCCTGTACCGTCTAGAAATTCAGTAATAAATTCCCAAAGTGTCGCATTTCTGTGTGACATGATGAAAGAACATCCTTAAGTCAGTCAACATCATCAACAATTAACAACGCTGAATCCAGCGTGCTAGAAAAATTTACGTACGATACTGAAACCTGCCTGAATCCGCTGCGAAAAGTTTTTTTACCCCCGCGTCATTCGGTTCGCCAGTAATAAATTCCTAAAAATGACCCAGTTCTGCGTGATTTAATCAGTCGGAGGTTATTTCGCCAGAACTAAAATTAAAACAGTTACAACTAAACCGGGTATTTGTATGCAAAATTCGACTTTTATAGCCAGGCCACACGAAACCGAACAGAACTACAACTTCATTTTCCATATTATTACAAGTTGGAACACCTGTAAAATATTATTTATTAGATTGTATTACCTGTACAAATTATTCCTNACGCCCCGGGAATACACTTGAAATTTTAACGAGCGGGAGAACATTATTTCGAGGCAGTTTCGGGAATTGGAACGAACCGCGCGATCGTGGGCGAACGGAAAGATCGGTTAGGCGATTTAAATACTGATAAGCGAGCTGCGGATCCTTCTGCGCTCGTGCAAAATTCGGGAATAGCAAGGAACGCGGGCGTTAGCAATCTGAGAACTAGACTGCGGTTCTTTAGGCAAAATTGTAAGAAACGGAGATTAAATAAAAATAAATGGTTTCTTTTAGATCTACCGGAAAATTCTGTCTGATAATGTCATTGCAAATTTCGATAGGTATGCACATGTTCATTTGAGACATATATTTTTGAAGAATGTTGCTCACAAATTGCCATCACGCTGGCAAGAGGTCATATGTAACGACGGAAATTATATTGTACAATAAATATTACTAAATTTATGAAAAATCTATTATTTCCTTTCATTTCTTAAACGGACAGAACTTTCCGGTAGACCTAATAATAATTTTAATACGTTGGAAATAGTCTGACAATATTGTCTATAGATTTTAGATTTCTGCTAGTCACTTTTGCCATTAATGCATCAAATCAGCAGTTTAGTGATAACGTTTTCATTTTATATTTCATGCAAAAGAGCTTTCAGAAAGTTCTGTTTTCTGCATTCTTAAAAAATGTCATGGGAAAATTCAGATTTATTGTGAAGATACTTATTTATCGTAAAAACTAAGGGAATTTACTTAGGGAATTTTTGTCTCCCTAACATGGAATATTCATACCGAAGTTGATAACATAAGATCACATGGTTGTGCCGCATTATTAAACTAATGGCACTTTCATCGAATCGCACGATAGGTCGTGTTTAACAATTTTTCACAGAAAAACCAAGTGACGACGGGTTACTCGAATTTTTGCAATAATACTGAAATATTCTCATACGCGTTCTAAAAAATTCTGTCGTCCCTGTACCGTCTAGAAATTCAGTAATAAATTCCCAAAGTGTCGCATTTCTGTGTGACATGATGAAAGAACATCCTTAAGTCAGTCAACATCATCAACAATTAACAACGCTGAATCCAGCGTGCTAGAAAAATTTACGTACGATACTGAAACCTGCCTGAATCCGCTGCGAAAAGTTTTTTTACCCCCGCGTCATTCGGTTCGCCAGTAATAAATTCCTAAAAATGACCCAGTTCTGCGTGATTTAATCAGTCGGAGGTTATTTCGCCAGAACTAAAATTAAAACAGTTACAACTAAACCGGGTATTTGTATGCAAAATTCGACTTTTATAGCCAGGCCACACGAAACCGAACAGAACTACAACTTCATTTTCCATATTATTACAAGTTGGAACACCTGTAAAATATTATTTATTAGATTGTATTACCTGTACAAATTATTCCTCCCCAAATATCGTTCGACGCTAAATCTGTCGAATATTAAGATTGACTAAATGTTTATCGCTTTATAAAAACATCAAAATCGATTCCATTTAAATCGGTCAGTGACGCTAATTTTTTATCTATTTTTCAAGATTTGTTTCTACTGCAATACATTTGAACAAACTGAATTTGACTGGTACGTTTAGCATGCAAAGAAGTTAAAATATCATCCACTATGATTAATTTCAACTGTCTGATTTCAGTTTTACTAATTAAATTATTTTGATTCTGTGGGAACTTTGGAATTGATTTTCGGCAGTTAATGTGTTCAATAATCACGAGATTCTTATAATTTCAATAAATAGAAAATACATGGAAATCGGTGCTCTAATTGCGAGTGACAGTGATTAACGTCGAAACAGCTCACGCATGTTGCATATGCGTCCCAGTTTCGCCGGCGATTGCATCTCCGCCGCGCATGAAAGACGATTAACAAGAGCTAAAGTGGTTAACAGTCATTATTTAATATCGAACGCACTCGAACGCGGAGCATAACGCGCGATTTAACGAGCATGCACATCGAAGTTCGAGCCCCGAAGGCAGCCGACTGCAGAATGTTAATTTACCGAATCGATACTAGGCTTTCTCCACGGTCGACGATTTAACCGTTGCTCGCCTTCTTTCGCGCCTAATGAAATTTTCTGAAATTTAAATCGTGCCACGCGGAAAGGGAAACTCGCCGGCTCCTTGGGCCGGGCGTTTATAGGACCCCATAAATATGCATCGGAGGATGCACTGAAATTCTCGCTGCAGTCGAACCGCCGTTTCCGCGACCTTTGTGGTTTCCCCATGCCGCGCGAGACGTTACGTGTCGTTAAGAGGGTATTCTAATACAGAACGCACATTTTTGATATTTCTTTTTATAAAGATGCAACTTCTTGCATCGCAGCTTTTCATATTTGTTACTCTTTCAACAATATTTACAAATGTTTATAAAGAGTAATAGTCAAGTGGTGGTGGTACATGTGCAATCGTGTAGCAAAAAGGCACCCTTATGGTTGCCATGATTACCATAAATATCATTTTGTCTGAAACAAAAAAGGAAGAAAGTTTCTTAATCTGAATGCGTTTAGCTATCGCAGAAATCACGAGCGAATAATAAAATTGATAATTAAAAAATTGCCAACATTTTGAAGTTGAAATATCGATTTCTGTTGGTTCCTTTAACTTTAGCAGGCTAGAAAATATAGAAAGAATCATGATTTCGACTTCGTTGTGGTTCGAAGTATAGCGACGCGTGTACTGAAGGTGCACACCAAATGTGAATGAAATCGGTCAAGTACCGGTCAAGTAACGGTCAACCAATTGAAAAAACATGCTTCGAAAGCTTTTTCCGTATCATTTAAAATATCGATTTTTTAAAGGTTACAGACTAAACTACCTCTTTGGCACTTTGACTTTTCATTTCACCCATACGTGGATAACAGAATTATTTGCTCAGATTTGAAAATTCGTTGATCTATTGTGTCCTCCTAATTTCGTTATGATCCCCAAAACGTGAAAATGTCGGCAATTAACTTTCCAATTTTAGCCTGATCAAATAAAATATGTCTTGTGAAATATTTGAGAGATGGTTGATTGGCAATAATCACAGCGTTAACAATTAACATCCTCGGCTTTCTACTTCGCAAAGATTGCACGGCGTCGAAGGATCTTCGAGCGAGAACAAGGGATGATGCGTTCCCCACGAAACGGTAAAATCGTGGTTCTGAAGCTTGTCTGGTATTTGTATTTTTTTTTTTTTCAACAAAAGTATACGGTCAGGTAAACAATATGAAAGAATCGTTCGGCCGAGGCTGTTTTAGAATCATAACGGTAGAGCTAGGACCGATAACTGCCGGCCGACCAGACAAACGAGACACTCCGCGCGAATTCATCGAATGAAACGAGGAGAAACACGGTGGTTAAAATTGTTTCGGGGACGACAGGTGAGCGGGATCAATAGAGTAGGCAGCACCAGGAAGCCCAGTAGAAAAAGTAGTTGCGAGAGCCAGGTGACAGGTGACGACGTGTCGTTGCGAGAACTCGCCCCGGGTCCTGAAGAGAAACCTAGGACCATGAGGATGGGCAAGAGGAACATTAAGGCTCAGGTAACGCTAAATCACATTCGTTCGATCAATTAAGTTATTTTAGTTTTAATCAATTTCAATTGTACAGTGAAAGGAATCGTTTAAATAATATAGAGTTGTACTAACATAAGAGTGTATTTACTAGACTGCAGATTTTATGGTTTTATAATAAAAATGGGAAAGTGAAATGTAAACATTGAGAATGTTAAATGAATTTCAGAATATCTATACTTTATTTTCAACTCAATGAAATGATTATAAAGAAAGAAATTTCTATTTGACTCGTGTTTGTTCCAATTGATGAAGATAATGCTTATTTTGCAGGAAGATTCGCGGTCATTGCTTATCATAGTATAACTTTATTGTAACTCTTTAGTATATATTATACTAAATCACATTCGTTCGATCAATTAAATCACTTTAATTTTAATCAATTTCAACTGTACAGTGAAAGAAAACGTTTAAATAATATAGAGTTGTACTAACATAAGAGTGTATTTACTAGACTGCAGATTTTATGGTTTTATAATAAAAATAGGAAAGTGAAATGTAAACAATGAGAATGTTAAATGAATTTCAGAATATCTATACCTTATTTTCAACTCAATGAAATGATTAAAGAAAGAAATTTCTATTTGACTCGTGTTTGTTCCAATTGATGAAGATAATGCTTATTTTGCAGGAAGATTCGTGGTCATTGCTTATCATAGTATAACTTTATTGTAACTCTTTAGTACATATTTTTAGAAGTCGATGTGGTATTTTTCAGTGATTTTTTAAAAAAATGGATGGATGGATCCAGGAACAGTGAAATGATTAAACGCTGGTGTACTAATTACAACTTATTAAAATGATTAGAGAAAGAAAAAATATTATCACACACGACTCGTGTGTGTTACAATCGATGCAGAACATTATTATTTCGGATAAAAATCCGTAATCTTAATAATCACTATTATCACGTCTGTGCTATGAATTTCTGAGACCTAAAAGAGATGCACAGTCACTATGATTTCACCTAGGTCTGATCACATTAATTAAATAACGTTGAATTGAACCGCCAAATAATAAGCACTCTACAGAGATGGCACAACTCTTCTTCCAAGTTTTAAAGATCGTCACCGAATGACCCAAAGTCTAACTAAAATCTGGCGTCTAAAGCATCGCGTTGTGATTTTACTTTTCATTTTCGGCTAATTTGTTTATGAGAGAATAACGTAATGTTTTCGTACTGATTCAGGTGAGAAGGTTTCGCATGGAGACCAAGGCTGCCAAGACGCTGGGTATCATCGTCGGTGGGTTCATCCTTTGCTGGCTGCCATTCTTCACGATGTATCTGGTCCGCGCGTTCTGTCCGAATTGCATCCACCCAACCGTGTTCAGCGTGCTCTTCTGGTTAGGCTACTGTAACTCCGCGATCAACCCGTGCATCTACGCACTCTTCAGCAAGGACTTCCGGTTCGCGTTCAAGAGGATCATCTGCAAATGCTTTTGCAAGCGGCAGGGCGACGGCACCAGACGCGGCAGCGATGGAAGTCAACTGACCGTGAGGTAACGATGCTACTGCAGACCATTATTTCGAGGCAATCGCTATACTTTCACTTGTCACGGTTAGGTCAGGTAATCTTGCCATGGCTTGTTTGTCCCATAATTATTAATGCGATTGTATTATTTTGTATTCATTTAAACATATCTGCGGGTTACGTCACGATTATTTCACTGTTATGTCACGGTTATGTCACGGTTAGGTCAAGTAATCTCGCTATGGCTTGCTACGGCCTTGCTTGTTCGTCCGATAATTGTTAATGTGATTGTATTAGTTTGTATTTATTTAATAACGCAATGAACAGATGGTAACTCGTCGTCGGAAAGATTAATAGTAAATGGAAACTAATCGAAGTGTCTGTAAAAATGATGGAATATTGATATTCCTGCGAGACCGATCGTCAACCTATGTTCGACTCGATGCACACCGGTCGATGGTACATTTTTAATTGACCGATCGATTCTGTTTGCGCCGACCGCTCGATATATTTTTATTTGACTGTTGACATGCCACAGATTTCTACTAATTAGTGATTTAAAGGACGCGAAGGCAGAAACTAAGCGATGACTGATGGCTGGTCAACAATGCGTTACTTTGAACTCCGATCTTGTGTAGAAATTTATATTTTCTCGGGTATGTACCTTCACGAGGAACACATGTTTTCGTGTGCTACTTCTCTAACCGAGGAATCACCGGAAAATCGACGCGCTCCATCAGGCTTTAACGAATGACTTGCTTCATCTTCTCCTCTATAGAACATGAAATTCTATCAAGCAGTGCTGTCAGACTGTTCTACAAATTTTCTGAGATTAGTATCTTTCGCGTGGATTTCATCGAGGAGTTAGAGTAGCAGAGATCACCAAACACGTTCTTGTTGTAGACCAAAATCGGCCTTTCCGACCATTCTTCATACTTCACCCATTCATTTGAATTTGTAGTATTCATGGAAAATATATGTCCTACGATCTTTATAATATGAATATAACACAGAATAAATTTCATTAATATTCCAACTGAATACTGTTATCTTAGCTTTGTACAAGGAGCGTGATTCACCGTGTCACTTATCGCGCAAAACGATTCGCCGTTTCTTACCGATTGAAAATACGCAAATTGTTTTTTTCTAACAACAACATTTATTAGTGCAATACATTCTAAATGGAAAGCTGTCACATTTCCATGTCTCATTAATATTCGCACATTGTGAAACGATTAACGAGAGTAACTGTAATTAGAAGTGATATATTCTAAATGGCGTATAATAAAATACGAGTATAATCTAAGATCATAAAAACAACACAAGAAATAACGCTGCTCCGAATCCTCCATTCCTTAGAAACAGAAGAACATGTCGTGAATCTGCAATTTTCTGAACTTGATTTTGCACAGTTGAAAACAAGAGAATCGTTTAACCAAGTCAAAAAGTTCAGATGCTCTAAAATGGTACCGAACACTTCTCTAACAAATGCTCGTTTCCACGATGAAATCACGCTTTGAAATATAAACGACGGGACAGAGTTGGGCATCATTCGAATACAATTTTATTTGTGACTAATCTTCCGAATAAAATTTCACTCGACTGATCTTTCGTATAAATTCTTGGAATATAGTAAATATTATATTATATAATATACACAAAATAATATATTTATATAATATTATAAATGTATTTATATAATTACACAAAATTTTTGGATTTCCAATAAATTCTACCAATAAAATTTGGAATAAATTCTACGAATAAAATTTGGAATAAATTCTACAAATAAAATTTGGAATAAATTCGGCGAATAAAATTGTATTCATTATTGGAACAAAATATGCCCAACTCTGGGACAGGATTTACTCATGAACTGAATAACAGAGATTGAATAATAGAGATCACAATGCTTGAAGAACATCCCGCGGCAAAAGCAACTGTCTCGCGATTTCCCACCGCAGATCCGAAAAGATGGCCGCTCTTCCGGTTGCAGGAACGACCGGAGCCCCAGTTACTCAACCCGCGTGCCTCAGCAGGGTGTTTCGATCGACGACTCGGACCTGGACCCTAGTTCTGAGCCGACGGTGCACTCTCAGAGCGAGTCCAGATGACTGTAGCATGCCAGGTGTGGCGCTCAACGCGTCACCTTCAACCCGAAGACCTCCAAGGTGAGGATACAGTCCTTCTGAAGGACCCATGGACGACGTCGACGATCATCGGCGCCCATTTGTGCCGCGGAATCGAGCACAAACGCGTCACGGATCCGGAGCTGGAACGGTTCCAGCGAGCAACGGATCGAAACGGTCGAGCTTCTTCGGTGTCTTATCTCCTTCGAGCAACCATAAAGACTCGGATCAGCGCCGAGAGACCCTCCGGCGTCGACGACGAACAAAGACAGAGCGAGAAGAAACGGACTTCGAGCGAAAATCGCAGTGCGGTTCGGACGAGATTCGTCGACGACTAAAATACTCAAGTACCATTTCTTGGTGTCCCGTGAAGTTCCTGCGCGGCTTCGTTGTCGTTCGAGGCTCCTCGGCGGAACGAGAGGAAGGGATCGTCGACAGGTTCGGCAATCCGGTCCAGAGCAGCCTGGATGACACTTTCCTTGAGCACAAGTCCACTAAGTACGTGTCGATATCTATATGTACGCAAAAGCTAATGTTTAAACGCAAAAAAAAACCGAACCGTTTCGCCAGCGGATCATCCCCTCGAGAAATCCTTTGAGCCGTTCGCTTTTGCCGAGCGAGGGGCGGCACCCTCTGGCCCTCCATCACCGGCCCTGAACTCCATTGTTTACCCCCAACACCTCTCCACCCCGTATTGCTTCCGTAGATTTTTTACCGTTCCTCGTTGGTCACTCGCGATAATAACGTTTAAACGCCGCCTTCGATGTTCGGGGTTCGTGTTCCAGAGACGCTGGTACCGGTTCGATCGCTATGAGCTTATTCGCGACACTGTTGGCAGTCATTCTACTTTCGTTCAATCCTCGGTGGTCCAACGACTTCACAGAGTTTTCAATGTTAGAAAATAGCAGACCGTTTCCTTAACTCTAGCACGCAGTTTTTCGAGCACTTCTGTTAATCCGACAAATAATATTTCCAACAAAAGTTTATAGGTTTCCGGTCGACTACGTGATAAAATATCGAATTTAAAAGAAATTATATTCCAATAAAAAAATCAGCTTCGGTTTTTTAGATCTTCTCAGGTCGCAACATTATTTTGTACAATTTATTTAGTTTACGTATATCGTTTGTGCTTACAAATGTTTTTTCTTCGAGTTATCGTTACATCGTTTATTCCGAGTTATTAATAATAACAATGTTTATTGTTTTCCTTACGGATCACAAGTACATACTGTGTTATTATGAACTGCATTATCTAGACTTTCAAGATTCATCGTAACAGCCGACCCGACAACTTAATTTCGTATTTTATTCTAGAGATGGAAAAATTAAATTAGAAGTATAGGTGATGATTGAGGATTACCTATTTAATGATTTCAAATTAAATATGAAACAACGTACATACATACACTTATTGCAAGACACATTTTGCAGGGCACAATTTTCCAAAAAAAAGAAGGCAGCATTTTTACTAGACTTGGATTACAGATTTACTGCGTTTATAAGAAAAATGAATCTGTGTAATATAAAACTAGAAAATCATCAGAAGTATTCGAGGATGCTCAATCTAGACACGAACTACCTATTTCTAATTGCGGTCTTTTAATTTCTCCTGTCCGCCAAAAGCTACGTTTACGAGCTCTGCCAACAGAATGTCTCGCACAGTACCTAAACGATAAGATCAACAATAAAAATTATAGACGACGGTGGAATATAACGAACGACGACCATAAGTGGTCGGTATCAGCGTCTCGACTACAGGACGGCTCGGAATCTCCGGTCTGCGTTTGTTTGAGGATTCTGGGACAGCCTGTAGCGTCGGCGGGACACGCGAGACGACAGAAAACTTTTATGAATAAGTGTTGTTATATCGATGTAATTAAACCAAAAAGGGAAAAAAAATCAAGCGAATAAACTCGTCGGGATTTTTGTACGGTCGCGTTCAGACATTTTTTTTCGAGGCATTTATCGATCGATGGCGTTGATCGAACGCGCGACAATTCGCTGGGGGGCAGAGGGACGTCCGAAATGGAAACTAAAACCGAGAGCTATCGAATCCAGCGCCCGGCCCATTGTATTATGTGATATATCTTCTGCATACGTAACGAACGAATGGACATAAATATGCGAATAAAATCCATGATCGTTGACATCCGGCCAGTCGATCTTTCTGTCCAAATTTCTTCCATGCTTCGCACTCTGGCGGCCATCTTGTCGGCTTCAGGTACGTATTCGCGCAATAATCGTGTAAATTGAAAAGAAACGAGAGGTAAGAACCGAAGGAAATATATTTAGATTGATGCGTACGTGAAGTACACTGTTTTTGTTGGGTCTATGGTTTATATTTATGACTAGACTGAGGATGTTATGCATTTATGGCAAAAATGGAATGTTGAAATATAAAATAGTGAAAAGATTCGAAGAAATTGAGGACGTTGATGTATTAATTTCAACTTATTGAAATTATTTTAGAAAGGAAAAAAATTGCGCATGTCTTTCGTGTCTTGCAATTGATGTTGTCAATTTTTATTTCGCATAAAGATCCGCAGTCTATTTATGACTACACTTAGGACACTCTGTCGGCCTCACGCATCTACGCGTTAATACAGTAAATATACAAAATAAATAAGAACATAAGATCGAAGACGAAAGAAATACTACTACGCTAAATATTTCATTGCAGTTAAATTTGTTCGTATTTTAAAATTATTATTAAAATTTGAATATTTCACATTTCGCAATATAAAAATGTTTGCTTAAATGTCACTTAATTCAAGAGAAAGTATCTTTGCACGAAGATCCTCGCGATAAATAATGTTCTCGAGAGGATAAAATAACAGTAATTTTTTAAAAAAAAGGACGCTGAAAGTTGTAGGTTTAGTAATACATGCTTTTGTTGCATCGTTTCGTAAAGTCTCTTCCACGGTGATTCGTTCATTTAAAATTAACAATTAGCCGCATCCGGAAGGCACTTTTAGCTGTTCAATTACAGTGACTCGAAGGAACGAGTTTAATTAAATTTCCAAATACTAACTCAATTACAACCAGGTAGAAATAAATGTACACACCGCAACGATAATTCCGAGAAACCTCTGAACTAACGGAATTTCATCTGCAACCACTCTGGAAATCTTATTTCTACCGCTTTGCTTAACCAGCATTTCGAAATTTAATTTAATCACTCTTAATCTCGTTAACTATTTATTTCTATTTGTGTTCGCAATTTGTACTTCGCAATAGAGATACACTGTCTTATTTTATTTGATTCGATTTGCTATCAGGAAATGTACTTCCCCTTTTAATAGCTTTTAATTCATTGCTGAGATTATGCTTTGATTCGCCACTTCGTACTTGATTTTTTGTTTCGGATACAGCTTATTTAAGTTCACTTTTTATGCGGCTGCGTTTCTAAAGGCAATAGTCAGAAAACTCCTGTTCTTTTTCTAACTCGTCCTGTATCTCGTCGACGCTTTTACCCTCAGTTTCCGGTACCATAATGGCGACGAACGCGGTACCGATTAGGCTAACCATTCCGTAAGCAGCGAACATCGAAGAGATTCCCATAAACGATAGCATATCTTGGAAAACTTTGGTCGCTACGAACGTTGATACCCAATTGCATGTGACGCTCGCGGAAAGAGCCGTCATTTTCACCTCCTCGGGAAAGATCTTCTCGATCAAGATCCAGGGTATTGGACCACAACCAACGGCGAAGGCCGCGACGTAAGTTACAATCGCTAAAAATGCCAGCCATGTAAAACTGGAAACGTCGTGTGTGTTCTGAAGCAAAGGAAATGCAGGGTTAGTCGATTTTGCGTTATTTGAAAGTGGAAATTTGAACGAAGAGAACATTAAATTCGCTAGAGTTGGGGGAGGAATCTTTAAAATTAAATAATAGGGGATCTTTCAAATTAAATAATGAAGAACCTTTAAAATCAAATAACGAAGGATCTTTAAAATTAAATAACAAAGTGTCTTTAAAATTAAATAACGAGGTATTTTTAAAGTTAAATAACAGGATATTTAAAATTAAATAAATAATATAGCCAATTGCTATAAAATACTATAGAGCTAAGAAAATGGCAATAACTGTTGTAATTAAATTGTTTGATGCTTCGTATATTTAATGTTTAAAATATTTTTGTTTTAACCTTCTGACGTTTTATGCGACTGACGTTCGCGGATTGATATATTCGTTTTCTGATTACGAAACGGTGAGAAACATTTACCTTGAGGCGAAAGTAACCAGACAAAATGAACATGCAAACTGACATGATGGATAAGCTGAGGAAAAATAGAAGTTTCCTGTTGGTGCGATCGATCAGGCTCCCCGAAGACAGCGTGGCGATCACGTACGTCAATCCGACGATAATCGAACAACTTGTCGAGCTTAGGGGAAACCTTATATAGTGGAATATCGTCGTCGCGTAGGATATCAGGCTGTTCATCCCTGACAGCTGTTGAAACATCATCATACCTAAAAGGGGAAAGAATATCAGAAATCCGTGCGTTACTAGATTCAGAAAACAGTAAAGCACTTTACTGATTTACAGTTGACCCTCCGCTGTCACACTTCCTATGCGAAACACGTGAGTATGTCATGTTACACCCAGTTCAAATTTCAAACGACTGTCACTCAAAAACTAACAATACTATTGAAACCCAAAAATTTTTAAATATAATTCGATCAATCTAGAGTATTCTTGATATTCTTGATATTTTACTTCCAAGTATATTGAATTAATTGTTAATTTCGTTCATGTCAGTATCATCTTTTCAGAAAAAAAAAAACGTGTGACATTTTGACCCAGCGTGACGGCAGAGGGTTGATAGTAAAATTCTAATTTGAAGATAGCAGAATGTAATTTAAAATTCGTAATTACGTGGCTCTCCGAATCCATTACAACTAAATTGCAAAATGCAAAATAAATGTCTAAATCGATTATAAAAACCAGAAGCCAAATAAAATTGACTCCCTTTCTTTAAGAATTTTGATAAGTCGAAAATAATATATTTTTAAGTATAAAATAAACGAGCATAATTAAAGTAGTACCATAATTATCTAAGTACTGATCTAAAAATTCTTTGAATCATTTCAGTGATTTAAATATCACCTTTTTGTTTTTATTATGATTGTATAAAACCCGCGGTCTGATCATAACAACGAGAAATTTGCATTTACATGATATAAAACAGGATGACCTGGATGTCGACGTTTGCACAAGGTCGAAAACATTCGTAGACCGCATAAAACAGTAATGAAATTCTTGCGTGGAAAAGTTCATTGAAACACAGGAGGAAAATTTTGTATCCGCGTGTGAAAAGGCTAATTCCAAGTCTCCCGTAAAATTTCAAACGTGATAAAGGGACTTTGAATTCAAATTGCGTGCCGCAGCTGGCTGGAATGTAAACCGGACTCCGAATAGCAGAAAGTAGACCGTGTATTCAAATATTTTGGGCTGCAACTTCAATTTAGGACGCGCGAATTTGAATGTCAATATGGCGGATTGGAATTTGAATGTGAATATGGCGAGACAGGTTTTACTGTGCACGCGCGTCCCAAGCTCGGATTCGAATTTCAATATCGCTCACGGATCTTTTGTTCGTGTTATTTGTAAAAACGATTTTTCCTTAACGGTGGATATTTTTTTACGGTGGGCGAATGATCGATGAAATGATTTACCGAGTGCAACGATGGTGGTCTTTCGATATTGCAAAAGTTCAGAAACGGGAGCGTTCCGTCTCGAACTTTTCTTCGTGAAACGATTTCCGCCGAAATGGGTTAGGATCTCTTGAGCTTCTGCTTCACGACCCTGTCTGATCAACCAGATAGGTGATTCCGGTATTGATTTAGTCGCAATCGAGAGGAAACCAGGTGCGAAGGCGCTGAGAAGCGCTATCGCTGTCAAATTATCGGTGAAATCTGGGAAATAATTATTATTCAATTTTTTACATTGCTGTATGTAAACGAAGCTTCGTGATTTTCTTTTAAATAACAATCGCCAAAGAGATCGTTATACACTATACAAATTCTTAGATACTTAATTAGGAAACCTTCAATTAATTCGTAACGTTTAAAAGATTATTAACATTCTTCATAGCGATAAAATTCTATTCAATGCAGCTCATCCTCGCATCAAATATTAACAAGACTATTAGCGCAGAGAAATTACGATTTCTTCGAATATTACGCTGTACATTTTAATTTCAGATGACAACACTTGAATTATCAAAGCGAAACAATTATTAATTGAAATTATTTAACCGAATTATAGCTAACTTGCTAAATATATATTTCGTTGAATTAAAGCTCACCTAAGGAGTAAGTGAATAAAATTCCAAGGGCGGTTTGAAGCTGGAATATCATCGCCGAGTATTCTTTGATGCAATCCGTCATTAATTCGGAAAGATAGATCGGAATCAATATGGTGGACGCGCCACACGACAGTCCCGCTATGAATCGAGCTAGAAATATCCTTGCAAACGATTATCCTAAATCAGTTTCAGAATGTCCAAAGTTCTCCGCTAGTTGATAATATACGAATAAAGCAGTCTCTATTGCACTTTAAAATTTTTTTCGGAACGGAGCTTTCGAGCTATTATCACATAATTGCTAAAATTTCGTTCAAAGTACACCACTACAATATTCGTGCATGGATAATTAATATCACCGCGCAACGACAGCGCCGTCGAAAAGTTAAACGATCCCAGCTCGTGAAAAATAAAACGCGGATTAAACGGCCGTTAAAGTCCACGTTTCATAAATTTTGTCAATCCGCGCGAGGTTGCACAAGTGCAGTCGCAACAACGGGAGAGAGAGAAAAAAGAATTCGCCGGTTGTTAATTCGGTCGAGATTAAAGCTGCTTCCATCTTTAATTAAGGAGCAGGGCGACGCGCACCATTAATATTTACAGAGGATAATAAAGAGACGCTGCTCACCATAGTTTGCTCCGTGCAAACCCGATAACGAACCAGCACAACGATAAGAGCACGCTGCTTATCAGAATGCTTCTCTTCCGACTAATCCTGTCCGCAATTGTTCCTGCTGGCACGCTACCAATTATGGCGCCCAAGGCCACAAATGAACAGATCCAGGATGCGCCCTGGTCACTGATAGGGTCGCCATGCCGATCGAAAATCGGCAATGCGATCGCGGTCCATGCGAGATATGTGCCGATCGAGAAGTTCACTAGACTGACTGCGATTTTTCATATGCAACGTAAACAAACGAGAATTGCAACTACATTGTTTATATTGCCGTGAAACGAAAATTAATTTCTCGTATAACCGAGTTTCGTGTTACTATACTGCGGATTTTATGCACTTATGGCAAACACGCGTAAGTGAAATACGACCTTGCGAAGAATTCGAGAATACTACCGCATTATTTTTTATATATTGACATTAATAATTAAAGAAATACATTTGTGTCTCCCTCCGGTTTCTTTCAGTTAATAAATCAATGCTTTATTTTGCATGAAGACCTACCGTTTAGTTCTTACTGTTTTTATATTTTATACATTTTTTTATATTTATAATATTATATTATAATATTATATAATATTTATAATATTTATAATATTATAATTATATTATATTTAATTTTTTATTTTATTAAATTTTTATGAATTACTTTGCTGTTACTTTGTTGAACACGTGGAAAATTTATTTCAGCCACTGGACAATTTTTTCCTATAACAATACAAGAAATTGATATAAAAGCTTAACATTCGCAACAACTGGCTTCTAATTTTTTATTCCCCCTGATATTAGAAAAATCTTACGGTGAGACATTTTTAGACGAACTTTTTTATTCAAGCACATATAATCGAAGTCTTACGAACTCTAAATAAATCCAATCTTGTCGTTGTTATAAAACAATATACATTAGTGACGCGTGGGCGATTCTCCCGTTATATTTTCTTTTGTACGTTTCATGCTTTTTCGCCGTAACATAATCCGCATTCTACTAATCCGAATCTGCCATAAATGCGTAAAATCCGCTGCCTATTAATCCGTGTCCACCACATAATCATGCAACGTCCACTGTCCAGTTAAATGCTTGAAATATCCAATACAGTGGCAAAAAGACCACGAAGTACAATGACAGCCGTCCGACGCGTGCACATGATTCATTCATACAAACTGTTCGGCGAAACAATGATCCATAAGATCGTTCCGACAACTACGGTATTCACGTGGAAGAACTCTCGGGCAACAGATCAGATCGGCGAACCGACGACGACAGCCCCGATCTCGGAGCACGGATCCCCAAGATCGATCGATCTCGCGAATCTTTCCTCACCCAGCACCACCAGCGTGAACTGCGATCGCTTCGCGATCCGTAGATCGCGTGCTGTGTCGTCGTTCGCGAGCGACACCGCCATTTTAACGGCCGCGACGGATCACACTGTCGAATGTCTCTCGGTGAGAACCTCCGTCTCCGAGACGTGACCTTTTTATCGTCGCAGTGTTATCTGCTAGTCGCTACCTACACCCGCTGACCTGCGCCCGTTATGGCAACGTAACGAGCTACAAAGAGCCAGCGATTAATCACGTCGCGCGATAACCGGGTGCATCGATTAATGATCGACCGGTTCGTTCGGCGGACATTCACGTAATTGGACACAAATTATCTGATCAGCTTAAGTGTCGAGCAAAATAATTATTAACTCTTTCAATGTTTAATCTGTATGTCGCACGAACAACGGACCACGCTGTTTACGATCACGTCATTATTTATGACACCGTGATTTATGTACGATTTATAATAGGAATATTATGTAAGCACACACACACAGTTAGCACGATCTCAATGGCATTCAGTTAAAGTAGATTTTTCTTCTACCTTTTCAACGTAGTCTGCGCTGAAATGGTTGAACTGAGCATTCGTGGTCTTGATAAGATCATGCTAATCATTTTCTAGTGACTCCGACGAGTCGTAATTCTTCTACGAACACAATCAAGCTGCTAATCGCATAAACTTCATTTACACAGTCTAACAACTGTGTACTTTTACTGGAACAGATTTTCATTTGATAATAACACGATCTCGTCAATGAAACGATCGTTCGAAAATACACATAAAGGTTTCCATTTAATTTTTACATTTATAAATTGACGCTCTTAAAATGGTAAATTTTAATCAACGTGGCCATCTTTTTGCTGATTACTTGACCTTAGGCTTGATCATCATTTTTCAAACGATTGTTCCGAACAATCTGACCAAACGAAAGATTTCATGAAATTTCATAACTGTTTCAACTGTTCTCTCGAGTGTTCTTCAACAGTAAATTTCATAACTGTTGAAATGGCGCTGGCTCGAAAGAAACGCGGCGAGTGGGGGCGGGGCGAAATTGGCAGCGAAGACACACTTTGAACTTCTCGAACTTCTCCAGAACGTAACGTAGGACGTTATTTATACTCCTGGCCATCGAACCTCGTTCATTCACTTTGCTTTTGTCCGCATCTGCAGAAATTTCAAGCTCTCGCCGAACGGGAGAATCGGAAAATAAACGTCTTCTGCTCCTGGCCGAGCTCCAAACGAGCGACGCACGGTAGCTACAGCAGAACAGCTGATATATCAAGGCTGATATTTAATACCGCAATAGTGTTGGTATGTTTTGTTGTGTAACCGTAAGTTGATACATTGTTTGGAGACTGCGGAAATGCGGATCCAGGCTGTGTTACAGGAAAGATCCAAGCGCGTGCGGTGTTGTATCGAATAACCATAGTGGGAAAACTTTTGAAAACTGGAATTACGTATTGTTAGTCGTCCGGGGATGTTCTCGTAAAGTTTTCATCTTGAAAAGTACCTTCGTTCACGTTCGTTGTCTACCATTCTAAGCAGTCGCGAAGCATTAAACGTTTTACCGTGTCATAGTTAAATGAAGGATGCGAGCCTCCGAATTTATGGCAAAAGTTCTCCTGTAAACATTACATGTTATCTCAACGTTCTACATATTTGTAAAATGGTGGATAACTGTTAATTATCTAAAGTCAATAATTTAACAACACTCGAAGCATTCAACATAAATAAAACATATCTTTGTGGAATTTTAATTTATTTTCTCTTAACGGAGAAAAAAACTAAGCTTTTTAAGGAATTAGGTTTTTTATATATTCATTAACTGAAAGATATAATCATCAACTGAAAAATATAATTTCGTAAAGACTCTAATTCAACAAGAATTAATGAGTAGAATAAGAAGTTTCATTGAAAATCAAGCTTTCTATACAATCATGAATAACCTAACGACTTCAATCATCAAATAAATAAAACAGAATAAAAATTATTTAGGAATTTTAGGGTCGATTTATTAATTGTCGATGATGGAAATATATTTGGAAGTAGTGTTTACTGGCAGTTGTCGAAAAATCACCGAACAAATTCAGTGAAAGGTTGTTTTGGCACTGTCCAGCAGAAAAAAAAGGATCGGACGGATTCTGTGGGTCGGGCTATCGACCATGGACTGAATCAGCAGGTCTTACGTCTTTTGTTCGCATCATTGGCGAATTCCTCGGCAACGTAATCGTAGGTCATGGTCCTCATTCACCGGGAACAAGAAACTTTCGAGAGGCGCCGACCAAGGAGCAACATCCGTGAGTTGTATAAACTCTGACTTGCTGTTCTTTATGTGTTCGTTCGAACGAGATCGAAATTTCGAAAAGCAAATGACATTTCCTTAACAAGCATCGTTGGGAATGTTTTTATTTCCTTCTTGTTCTCTTTTCATTTCTATACTTAAACGTTGACAAATTATGTTTGCAAATCGCTTTCTGAAAGCTGAGAAGCACTGGAAAAATGATTCGCATAGTTTACAATCCGATTTATATATTATCACTAATTTATAATAATTTCTATAAGATAATTTACTTAATATAATTTATTATTCTAATATTCATCAATCCGATTACTTTTTGCCCAATTATTAAAAATTAGTCATAATCGTTGATCATTAATGAGATTACTTTCTCCCAACTCCGTTCATAACTAAATTCAAGCGATAATACAAACAAGTTGAATTACGCTGAAGATTTCTCTGATCAAGGAGCTTCATTGTTATTAAAAAGCCCGCGACTGGCAACTCGATAATTGAATTCCCGGAACCCGAACGCATCGGTGCCTGCAACCAAACTAATTAACGTTACAACCCAATAAAACGATTCGCGGAGCACGCTTTTCATTCAGAATCGCCGAGAAGCGTGTGAAATAGCCCTGAAGAGCGGACGAGAGTTAAATAATAATTTTAAATCGAATCAATGAATTCAATTATTCGATATAAACCGGCCCGGACCAATGATGATTAAATACTTCGACGCCTCCGCGATTGTTGCCCGTCTGGCGAATGGCGAACGAACGAAAATAGAAACATCGCGGAATTTGTTGATCCGAGCTAGCGCGCACAGGGCTCCTTTAATTAATTAATCGTTATTGTCCGCCACGGCCGTATCACCTCGCCCCGATTCTGGATCAAAGCAAATTATTCATTTAATTCATTCTGTCGACGATACCCGCGCAAACAACCCGAGTCCCATTTCATTAAATTTTCAAATCCAACCTCAAAGCCGATTCGATTCGGAAACAACCGCGGCCCGCTAGGAATGCGGAATCACGTCGATGATACACTGCGAGAGCCGACTATTCAGTAAATTACCGAATTCATCGTCAAAGGATGATTGCTTTTGTAAAACATGCTGACGTTTGTCCGCCAGTAGTTTTGCTGGACAAGCCCTCGGGGACAGAGTCGCGAGCTAAGGATGCTTTAACCAATCCGTGAGAGTTCTGATCACAGAATCGCATTATCATTAGTACAACTACAATATTAATTTATTCATTTGCTGATCGAATTTATTCGGGAATTCGTGTCATGTTCGTGTCGTACAGCGATCTTTTTGTCGGTCCATTTGCTAAAGAACGTAAGCATGATGTGATCGACATTTTACCATTGTTCACCGAAAGAGTTACAAGTTAAACAGTTAAAATTATAGAATAATTTTCTTTTAAATAATATTTCCAAAAGAACTTGTTACGTTATATTGATATAAATAATTTGACGAATTGTGGAGATTATTATAGCCTTCGAGCAATTTTTTAAGAAATTTGTTCACTTGGTCTTCGGTTCTAAAAAAGACTTTTACAGGGATTTTAATTGCCAGAAACTAGAGGTATTCAAATAACTATATTTATTTCGACCCCAATTGGTCCAAAGCCCTGTCGTCCAACTGTTAATAATCTGCAGAATCTATTTAGTATGTGTAATGTGTAACCTTGACATAACATTTTATATAATGTACAATAAATACATGTATAATAATTTATATGTGAACGTATCAACTTGATATTCCAGCTGTCGATCGTGTTTTCAAAAATACCATTGTTTACTTCATGTTGCTTGATCATTTTTTACCACGACACGATTCAATTTCATTGCGTAAGATTTACATAACTTTCCATCGGAATATATTTTAACTGTGCAAGGTTTTCTTAGACGCGCTCTTTCCATTTTAGCATTATCGAACAGTCAGACCGTTTTTAATTATATTTAATATCATTGTTACGTTACATCATTGAGAACTACTACTTTTCCACTCTTATTACAATCTAAAGCAAGACAATATAAATTCACAGGATCGTTAAATTTTATTATTAGGTGAAAAATGACGTCGCATGAAAAATCGTGGTATAATAATCTGCTTACAATAGCCATTTTCCACAATGTTTGGTGATGACTGTGTCCTTCTTTAACGCTACTTTGGCTGCCACGTCACTCATACGTGGGTGATGGATTTTAGATTTGATTGGATCAAATTTAGGTCAGACTCGAAGAAACATTTTTACGCCAATCTCTATCATATCTGCTAATTCTATTAAAATTTAGGATCCACAAAACGTAAGTATGCTGAAGAAGTAATTGATTTTACGCAACTTAATTCTTTGGTTTAAATTTGTTCGAATAAATCACTTAAAATTTATGAAATGCTTAGGTTGTCGACGTGGCAGTGAAAGCGTTAAAAAACCGTATGAAATTCTCTGATTGTGCATGTTAAAAAAAACAACAAAAAGAGGTTACAAAATCGACCAAAAAAATACTATCCACACTGAAACACTCTAATTCTAATGACAAACTTCTAACACACTTTGCCGGTGTTGATTACCTGTTCGGCGTGTCAGCCGAATCCGCGGAAAACGTTGAAACGTGCGGACAGTAATCGAATCGTGAGTGGGAAACAAGAGGGAATAAAGAACTCGTTTGGTAGGTGGAATAATTTATTGTGAATCGACTTATCGCGACATGATTAAAAGAGAGAGGCGAATGCGAATTAAGTTCGTCCGGGCGGCGCGCGATTCGCTTCGCTTCGCGTCCCGCATCTCGCGTCTCGCATCGGCTTCGAACGAACTCGAAAAGCATTCAGAAAGTTTGATTACCCCGCACCAACCGAGCATCCCGTGGCGAGAAAGCTGTTCGAGAGTATTCGCGATCGGCGACGAAGATTGACCCGGGCCCCTTGATCGCGCACGTTCGTTTGAAAAAGCTCGCAAAAAGAGAGGAGAGCTCGATCGCGTGCGCCAGCTCCATGCGAATTACGTTCCCGAGCAAGCTTGTTTCCTTCGGCGTGGCAGCTCATCTCCAGAACGTATTACACGGTATAAATTAACCACGTCTGAAAAATCGCCCTCAAAGGGAGACCTTTCGCTTCCGCAGAATTTTTCGTCGAAAACTGAATCCCGGTTACCGTCAACTTTCCACCCTCGTCTTCCTTAATCCTTCTCTTGGCACTACGCTGGCCAATCAATTTCTTCCTCGGGCAGACCTCGATCGGCATTCCATCAGAAGCCGCGAATACGACTTTCGATCGCCAGACGTAATTTCCGCTCTCCGTTGTTCCGAATCTTTGGTAATTTGAACCGACTGGTAATCGTGTCCCCGATCGTCACGTGTAGACCGTGGATTTTTACATGAGCGGCAAAACTAACGAGGCGCAAGTCGGCGAATTTAAGATCATCGAATTTCCAGACAGCTTTCAGATAGCTACGTGCCGACGTCCCAGAATCATTTCGTCTGCGAAAATATCGGAACGTTAGCACTACAAGCTACATCTTTATGCGTCCGCAAAAATAAGAATTTCTCACTCGGCAATTCTCTCTGGAAAAGTGTTCTAAAAACCATACACCTCGGGCAGATTAAAAAATGACGGAACCGCCATTGGACGAAGCTAAGTGGAGCCAAGTTAAGCTGAGTTAAACCAAGCCGGACCGGGCTAAATAAGCTAGGTTATTTATTAAACCTCTTCGCAACCGAAATAGAGAATTTCGAGAAACTCGAAACGAAGGTACGACTGCGACGGGAAACTCGAAGATTCACTGAACTCTCGAACTTTCCCGAAATTCGACGATAAATCTGCGAGACCCGGCACGCGACCGAGCCAGTCCGAAACGGCACCAGAACGTCCCCAGTGATTTCTAGCGGCACGATAAACCATGTTACGAGGGATCGTGACAGTAAAAGCGCGAATCACCGACTTCCGTTCCGGCGACGGGCTCTAATCGCGTAATAGTAGAGAAGCCTAACGATCGATAAGATCCTCCGAGGAAGGGTCAGTTTTCCCCGAGGGGTGTGTGTGCTACGAAACTGTCTCGCCAGGTGCCCGGTTCCTCTGCGTGATCCTCCCGGCACAAAGGAACTTCCGTTACTTGGCTTCCGGCAGATTGGTCGCTAAAACCCTGAACCCGTTCTGATCGGCGACGTAATGGACCTGTTGTAACACGCCGTTCGGGTCGATGTAACTGTAAGCACCTCTGGTGGTCCCGTCCAGGGACCTGGACTCCGTCTTCGCGCTCGAATCGCCGGCGTACGTGTAATCGTATTGGCCCAATGAGTCCTGGGTGTGATGTAGAGCGCTATGCAAAAGCCGGTACGGCAGAACTGGCAGCACGTAAGAGGCTGGAAGAGGTGCCGCCTTTTGAATTCCATCCAAGGACACCAGTTTTCCGATTTCCAACGAGTTCACGCGCAACTCTTCGGGCTTTTGCTGTCCTAGAGTCGACGAAGCTGGGAACTTCGCCAGACTCGGGTCCGGTTTCGGGACTTCGATCTTCTCTGCTTCGGCTTGAGACAGTAGATACGGGTTCTTCGAGGTCTGTGAAGATGGATTGATTCTCGGTGAGTTGGCGACTTTAAGGTTGGAAGTTTGAAACTAATGGTTCGTTGAGATTTTTGTTTCAGTGGCTTGTTTGAAAGTTGAAGGACAGAAGATCGTCTTTGAGCATTTAATAGAGGAGAACCGAATAATGCGGAATGAACGATTTGTTTGCGATAAGCATGATTAACAAATCAATTTCTGTTAGGTAGTAAATTTAGTGGTGCTTATTGCAGGTTGTGTTGACTGATTAGTTGATTTGGAGGTATCTGCTCTTCAAGTTATTTAGAACTTGGTCAGGGTTGAAAAATGTATTGCGGAAGAACCAAATGATGCAATGTTAAAGCAACTTTTTACATTGTATTTCTATTGTATACAAGTTATATAGAACTAGATCGGGGTTAAAAAATGTATTGCAGAAGAACCAAATGATGCAGTGTTAAAGCAACTTTTTACATTGTATTTCTATTGTATACAAGTTATATAGAACTAGATCGGGGTTAAAAAATGTATTGCAGAAGAACCAAATGATGCAGTGTTAAAGCAACTTTTTACATTGTATTTCTATTGTATACAAGTTATATAGAACTAGATCGGGGTTAAAAAATGTATTGCAGAAGAACCAAATGATGCAGTGTTAAAGCAACTTTTTACATTGTATTTCTATTGTATACAAGTTATATAGAACTAGATCGGGGTTAAAAAATGTATTGCAGAAGAACCAAATGATGCAGTGTTAAAGCAACTTTTTACATTGTATTTCTATTGTATACAAGTTATATAGAACTAGATCGGGGTTAAAAAATGTATTGCAGAAGAACCAAATGATGCAGTGTTAAAGCAACTTTTTACATTGTATTTCTATTGTATACAAGTTATATAGAACTAGATCGGGGTTAAAAAATGTATTGCAGAAGAACCAAATGATGCAGTGTTAAAGCAACTTTTTACATTGTATTTCTATTGTATACAAGTTATATAGAACTAAATCGGGGTTAAAAAATGTATTGCAGAAGAACCAAATGATGCAGTGTTAAAGCAACTTTTTACATTGTATTTCTATTGTATACAAGTTATATAGAACTAGATCGGGGTTAAAAAATTTATTGCGGAAGAACCAAATGATGCAATGTTAAAGCAACTTTTTACATTGTATTTCTATTGTATACAAGTTATATAGAACTAAATCGGGGTTAAAAAATGTATTGCAGAAGAACCAAATGATGCAGTGTTAAAGCAACTTTTTACATTGTATTTCTATTGTATACAAGTTATATAGAACTAGATCGGGGTTAAAAAATTTATTGCGGAAGAACCAAATGATGCAATGTTAAAGCAACTTTTTACATTGTATTTCTATTGTATACAAGTTATATAGAACTAGATCGGGGTTATAAAAAATGTATTGCAGAAGAACCAAATGATTCAGAGTTAGAGCAACTTTTTATACTGTATTTATATTGTACACAAGTTATAGTCGGGGTTAAAAAATGTATTGCAGAAGAACCAAAAGATGCAGAGTTAGAGCAACTTTTTACACTGCACTTATATCGTATACAATTATTTGTTGTATACTAAATTTAATGGTTTTTTGTTATATTTAACTAGACTAGTTAATTTAAAGGTATCACGTCTTCGAATTATACAAGCCAAAGCCATCTTGATAAATTTCTTACAACAGAACTAAATGTTGCAAAGTTAAAAAATTTTTGAAAATTCATTTCAGCTTACTTAAATATTATGTAGAAATTTTTGCGTTACATTCAACGGTATTTATTATAAATAAATTTAGATGATACCTATGCAGTGTTTAACTTACCGCGATTTCTCGAACAGCCAAGTTCTTCTCGTCGTCTTTCCTCAAGTGTGAGAAACTGTAATACGGCGGTATAATGTTGTACGATAAAATATTCGATTGATAGTTGGCTTGCTCTCTCAGCCGGGATTTCTGCAGCTCTTCGAGGTGGCTCTTCTTCGCGGCCGCCACTTCCGGCGTGTCCTGAACCTCCTGGAGATCGTTTTTCGGCGGTTGCGGCAAATTGCTAGCGCTCACTCTGAATCCGTTTTGGTCGTCCGCCGTGTATGTCACTGTTTGCAGTATTCCGTTTGCGTCGATGTACGAGTAACCTGAATTAGGATAAAAATTTATTTAATTTAAATCTGTGTACATTATTCTATTTATCTTAAAAATACCAATTCTTCGAGGTTTAGTATTTTAGAATTAACTCGTTGAACTCAATCTGTAAGACAGTACAGCATTTTACATATCCACAAATTCCTTAAAGTCGATAGTCTACTAATTAATTAATAATTTAATTAAGGGTTGCTATATATATATATAAGTAACAAGGATAAGAGTCGACTGCGTTTTTGTAGAAAAATAAGATTATTATTTGCGCGACAAAAGACGGAAAATTTGGTACAGTTAAGAATTTAATTATTCTATCGCTGATTCCGACGAAACGTTCAAGCGTTCCTTTTCCCCTGAATCGTCCTGTAGACGGGTAACGGTACTCGTCGCGTTAAAAGCCACGCGTATACAGCAACGAGCCTATGCAACGTTCTAAAGAATAGCAGATGGACCCTTTGCCTGGGCGTTTGTTGCGTCATCGATCATCGTTTCAAAAGTAATCACTCGCGAACGTAGGCCGCGGTGTCTGTCGCGTGATGTTCAGGAAAGGAATGTATGCCATTCATGCTTTTACGAGTCATCAGGCAGAAATGCTGCTTACAAACGTACCTGCCAATTATTAATGAAGACGCACATTACTCTCCCACGTGGGGACTGATATTCAAATCGGCGCTAAACTCTGTGCGCACGTCTAATACTATTTTTAATGCGCGCCATCAATCTAATATTTAAAACTAAATATCAATATTTTCGAGCCATGATTCTTGTTCGTTGGAACATTTATCATTCTTGACCAAGCATAAATTTTGTGATGAATAATATGATACGCGATGAATAGTATTGTGATAAATATTATATTATTTTTTAAGAAAATGCGATGGTTCGAATCAATTAATCTCTCTGTTTCATTAATATATTATTTATTCTATTAGCATATCGATTCATCAATTTGTTCCGGTTCAGTGAGAACGTTCTCAATTTGGTATAAATTGATTGAAAATTACAATTCGATCGAAGCATCGTAAAATTCGATCACGACTGTTGAAATCTAGTAACGCAGTAATTTTTCAGTGCCATGGCGAAACGTGTTTATCACTAAATCCAGTAAATTCGATTCTCCCTGTTCCGCTAGAAGCGGAGATTAATCTACGATCGAATTACACTTCAATCTACAGTTTCGACAGAAGTTTAAAATAGCTCTCTGCGCAAGCTTAAAAGCACGAACAGCTTATTGTTTTCTTAAGCAGTCGAATTAATTTCAACTTGACCTCAAATTTTCGCTGTTCCATACTCTGCAGACTAACAAAGAGCAACCCTTTGCGCTCGAAGGATTTCCCAGATCAGCTGTCAACAACATAAACGTATTCATCCTTGAAACAATAACTATCGCTTCAGATAAGAACAATAAGAACAATAATACAACTTTAGTAATAATAACTCTATCTAATCAGTTAACTGTTGCAATTTCTTCGAAAAGTGTGTAAATTACTGTAATTATATTGTACGTGTTTGATTTTCTTATATACTTTGTTTAAATACAACAATTTCATAAAATATACAATTTAATCAAAAATATCAGAGTGTGCTGTTTTTGACGAATAAAGAAATTGCAACATTTTGCAATTCGACAAAAACAACGAAAACTAGTTAGATAAAATTTGGTACGAATTTGTAACGATACAGATCATACGAAACAGAAATTTATAGTTTTTAAAATAAAAAAAGGTATCACAATAATCAACAGTCTTGTTACGCGCCTGAACGAGAAAATCCGTATTCAAAGGGTTGAAGTCGCAAAAGTCGCTAGATTCTTTTTGAATCGAGAAAAGCAACCGGAGAATCAGAGGAGGTGAACAACTGCGAGAACTTACCGCCCCGTGTAATTCCATTCAGACTGGATTCCGATTTAGCCTGATGAGGCCCAGTGAACGAGTAATGATATCCTCCGGATCCGTCCTGTATGTGGAACTGGCGTAATGGTGTTACAGGTCCCAGGGGGCTCAGCCAAACATTCGCGATCGGTGTAGCGAAACTTTGCCCGAGGAACAGGCCAAATAGAATTCTCTGCGAAGGAAAACGCATCCTTGATTCCATCTGCTACCGCAGTTGCCAACAGTGTTCTCCTGAACATGCAACTTTTCCATACTTCATTCGTTGAACGAGTCAATCTAATATCGAACATTGAATCGCGAACTTGCCGACAACGAAACTAAAGTAAAAAATTCTCTCTTTTTCTTTTATTTTATTTTTATATTTTCAATACTTCAACGGGTCGAACGCTTTATGTTGGAAAGAAAAAATAGGAAGTAGTGACAGTTGAGCAGACAAGTATGAATGAAGTGACAACTGAAGTGAAGTACTCACTGCGATATACGAATAGTACTCATTTTTAATCATTTCATAAAATTTTATTCATTTCGCAGTTTATTATGGTTTACGGGCATTTTTTAAGAGTTTATTGCAGTTTTCATGGCTATTTTTGAAGAGTTTACTGTTGTTCGTGAACATTTTCTATGACTTCATTGAGATTCGTTTCCAGCGCATCATTATTTATAAAAAAGTTTTCTGATTCAGTTAGAAAGGAACAGAAGTTAAAGAAAAATGTATTTCATCTTGTAATCATTTCGATCAATTAATGTAAGGATATTGTTCGATTCCTCTGTCTTCATTATTTCGTATTTCTCATAGTCAGTTTTATCATAACTGTATACAATTCTTTGTCTACTTATTTTTCGAGATATCTCTTTATTAAATAAAAATAGATTTAAGTTTGACACTAGAAACAAATGGGCATAAAAAATGGCAGGTCCGTGCTGCCTTGTAAGAACATCGAGACTTATTTAAAAATTAATATATTCAATCATTTAACACAATAATAAAGTAAAAGAGGCCCGAAACTTATCGTTTTCAATAAGCCATCAGTTCTAGTATTAAAATGGCCCTCGTTCAAGGATTAACAATCATCTGAGGAAATTCAAACTGGGCTTACAGGTGTATTAAGATCGAAGTTTCAGTGAAAGCTCTGACAAAATTGGGAAATAACTGTGCAAAGGTTTAATTGAAAGTGCACGCAAGATCGTTCTGTTCAAACGGGGTATCGAGCCGTGGCAAACGCGGCCCGACAACGAAATTTTAGCAATTTACACCTGACCTATTTTCCACGGGAATCGAATTCTATCGAATCAAACGAAAAGTCCCCAGGATGCTCTGTGTGCCGTGGAAACTTCCGGCTCGACGGGCACTACCTTCGATATTTAGCTTGGCGAACGAAGATTTGCCCCGATACTTCATCATTGTGGAAGTGTTTGACCGAATCTGGGGGCCCGAGGGGCTATTCGAAAGCGCCGTCAGAAACTCGACACGCGATTTTACCGCCGGAAAGTGCCGGTATAGATTCCGGCAGATCGTTCGATCCTCGTTATTAGCGTGGAAACTATGATCCATTGACTTCCGCGACCGCGAAATTGAACTTTCGTTAATTCGGTTATCGTTAGTTAGCCGCGATACGGCTTGCCGGAAACTTAAACAGTGTCTGAGACACTTCGCAAAACGCTGTGCGAACTGTATATTATAATGCTTCGAATCCCCCAGTCGCCCCTCGAGCGTGCAAACTATCGTTGCCAACTGATATCGCTGTCGTTTGACGAAGCTGAACAAACTGCGGATCCTTTGATTTGCTTAACAAACCGGAAAATCAATGGAGATTGTTATTTTGTTGTACGCCGATCGTTTAATCATCCCTCGAACATAGAACAATTATGATTAGACGTATTGCAATGCCAATTATTTTATTACACATCGCGCACCAACCATTTTTCTACGTAGAAATCATCGCCGAAGATTGGATAATTGAAAAAACGTCAATTGTCTTCGCTGTATTACATGAAGATAGTTCATATCATGACTGCAATGATTGTTATCGTAACAGTGACACAAATATTTCTGTCCGAGTATTTTTTTTTAAATATTCACGAATGAGACAATGTTCAAAAGATCTCAATTGTTCTCCAAGAATATTATTGTTAAGTTATTAAGTAAATTATTAAGTTAAAGCTGGTTTAAAGTTAAGTTTCACAATTAAGTTTCACAATCAACCGTGATCTATTTGATCGAAACGATTGAATCACCTTTTGGAATTACATTAACACGAATTTCACTGATCATGTAATTCACAGATGTCTGCCAAATAAATCGTAGGAGTAGAATATTGAACGAAACAAAGACGAACGTCAAAGAATTGCGATCGTATTAAAGGATCGAACATTTTAACAGATCTCTGTGTACACGCAAGAAGTGTTGGAATCGAGTAGAAATTTATTGACATCGCTCAGAACTTTCCGATCCTTCTACAACAACGAATTTTATTTCGTTTCCGATTGTTCCGGTCGAATTGAGCCGAGCACAAACGTTTCCAGCGTGGAAACGGCGATGTAAATTTCGGACGCGAAACAATGCAGTCTTCGTCGCAGCCATAGAATCACGAAAATGATCCGTGACCTATTGTGCAGCGCGGCCGGAAAATCAAGCTTTCGTTGATTCAATTATCGATAGTTAGCAACGATACCGACTTGTTGAAAAGTTAAATGATGTTCGAGCATTTCACGGAACCGTTTACCGGCATTAATAAGGCGTCTCGCGCGAAACTTCGACGAACTACCCGGAGAGCACCGAGAAGTTGCAGGCTTCCAGAGATTATTTTGCGGATCATTCCGGATCGCCGCTTCTACCGGATCAAGGGAAACACCTCGGCAACCCACGGAAACCCGCAATTTTCTTCGCGTGGTTGCCGTACATTTTTCGAACATCCATTAAATCAAACGCCGCAACCGCCAGTCTACCGTACAGTTCTACAATCCCACAAACCTTTTACCTTGAATTGCTATTCACGTACTTTACTACAATCTAGAGAAGTTACAAGTGCCCGAGGAACTTCGTTTTCTGGCCAATATCATTCTTAACCCCTTGCACTATGATTTCTTTCACAGCTACCTCGAATAACGCCCCTTTATCCTTAACAATTTCTCTAGTAGAATTAGATAACTTTTGTTTCTTGGACGTATTATTCTTAGATTTTCAAAAGGAATTTTTTGAAAATGAAGATTTTAAAAGGGACGAGCAATATTCCTATTCAATACATACGTAATCCGTATGAAATTTTTGTCACAAGTCTGACTAGTTGAGACAGTGTAAGGGGGTGAAGACTTTAATTTTAAGCAATTTTATGGAGTGAAGGTCTTCCATATAATCTTCCGAGACTTCAGAGATGCTTTTCGATTAACGACAGCATTGAAAGGAGATAGGAAATTGACAATGTGTATCACTTGACAATGTGTACTGAATTAAACATATTCGGATTATGCGTTACTCATTTTCTTGACAACGTATATTAAATTAAACTTGTTCAGATTATATGTTACTTATTTTTGTCACAATCTGTAGTAAACTAAATTTACTTGGACAATATCTTGCCGATTTCTTAACAATCTGAACAAGTTTAATTTAATATACGTTGTCAAGAAAATGAGTAACGCATAATCCGAATATGTTTAATTCAGTACACATTGTCAAGTGAATGAGTAACGCATGATTGAAGTAAGCTTAATTCGACACACGTCATCAAGAGAACGAATAACACGCGATCTAAGCAAGTTCAATTTAATAGAAATCACCGAGGAAACGAATAATACACGATGTAAGTAGATTTAATTCATCGTACATCGCGAAGAGAATGAATAACACACGATCTAAGCAAATCTGATTCGTCAAGTAATATAAAAGATAGTTAGTCCCAACAGAAAAATTCCCTTTTTCGAACCGGGACAAAGGTGATCAATCAGCTCCGGAAACCATCGAAGCCATTCAAATCGCAACGAATTCGTGCGCCGGAAGGGTAAAACTGTTCAGCAGAAAAGTTTGCGCGCGCGTTGCTGCTTCGAGGGCGTTAATGAGAGTCCTCAGAGGCCGGGTCTGCCCTCTTGATAGGCAAACTGTAATATGCAGTTAGATATAATTGTAATAGGGCGAAGCAGACGCGGCACTTTAAAACTTCCAAGTTCGGCGCAGCAGAAGCAGTGAAAAGGAGAGAAAGAGGGAGAGCGAGAGAGAGAAAGGGAGAGAGAGAGAAGCTGGCCCGCGAGGACTAATTGAGATTGCATCCGCGAGCTGCTTCGTAAAACTTGAAAATTAGATGACAACCGTGACGAGCGCAGATTAAACTTCCCTTATTTGCGCTCGGTGCCCGCGTACACTCTTAGGCCGGTCTTTACAAGCGCGTCTTCCGTCCCCAAAGCGCTGTGTCGCAAACTACTTTCAAATTACGAATTTCGCACCATTCATATCCGAGATTAACCTTTCATATAGCAGAGCCTCGTTTCAAGTCCCCTCTGGCCAACGGAACCGACTGCTGCACGATCTCAAAGTTCCTTCCGGCGAATGAATTAATTATCATTGTTGCTGCTATAATTATTTGCCAATTTCGCGGAACTCGTGATTCCCCGGCCTTTCACGGACCGTCGAAGTCTTCGACCGCGCAATCGGATACGCGTTGCTCGAGCTGCAATTTAATCTAGCTCCCTCGGGAATTAAAACGGTGATCGATTAGACTCTTGTCTTAAGCGTGGAGTTTAACACTAGATTCACGGAGCACAAAAAACAGCTGTTTTATATTAATTTATAAAAGTAACGATAAGACATTTATTCTGACTTTTAACGAGCGTTATTGCAACATTTGCCGTAAGTAACATATAAATTGAATGAATAACTCATGAATGTATCTTTACGATATGAATAATCGGAAATTAAAAAATTCGTTCCGTGAATCTAATGTTAACTTTTTATCGAATGATAGTTAAATAATGCGACTGGAGAACGATGGCTACTCCACATACATCTTGTAGCCTAACATATCAAAGTTTGCTTTGACAATTCTCACTGAAACTTCGTTCTTTTAATACCGATGCTGTAAACTCACGATTTCGAAGTCAACATTTGTGCAGGGGATCTTAAATGTCGAAAATTGAAAGCTGGGAAGAATTTTCACGTTGAGTTAAATTCGTATGCATAAGAATTGCTAGAAATACGAGCGCGGTATGATCGAATATTGTTCCATTTTGCTTTTTTCTTGACTATAATTAGTTCTAGTTGCTAAATAGAGAAGATCGGATTGTGTCCGAGTACAAAAGTATAAGCTCGCAAGCTTCGCTGTCTAGTTACGACAAACTTTGAGCCTGTAAGCTTGAGGAACCTTAAGGGTTTAATCATTGGATGTGCTAAGCTGCTAAACTCAGATTATGATTACACTGCCTTCCGAGCGACGAAGAGGATAACTCTGAGTGCAAAACTTCTAGAATACATTTAGCATTAAAGGAACTCATTACCAAGCAACACTACAAAGCTGTACAATTTTTATAAACACACCGTTGCTCCAAAGTTTCAGCGGGACCCTATCTTATTAACCCCTTTCGCTCGTGTTAGACTCGTTACGAAGATTTAGAACGTAATCCACTAAATGTAGACGTTATTGGCGTATTTTAAATCGAAATCCAACTCTACTCTTCTACTGTCGATATTTAAACGTCAAAGTAGAGACTGTCTTATAAATAGCAATATAATATTATGACTGACATAAAGACTGGACATAAGGACAGAAGGACAGAAAGGTAGAAGGACAGAAGGGTAGAAGGATAGAAAGACAGAAGGACATAAAGACATAAGAACACAAGAACAAAAGGACATAAGAACTCGTAAAGGAATTAATTTGTGACGAAGTCCTGATCAACGCAGTCGTGGAAGAAATCGTGCCGCGAGCATAAAAATGTCCAAAAAGTAAATCGTTTAACACTTTGACTGGCATATCGACAACCTTCAAATTATATAAAATCATTTTATTTACGAATATATTCGCGCATTTTGTGAAATTAAAATACCATAGAGACATAATGAATTAGCGTAAAAATTGGTGAAAGTGTTAAAAAGCGAATCATACTTCAGCTTTGTTAATCTGGCAATCCTAAAGCACTCGAAGATAAGAAGAAAGCTAGCATGATGTCGAAGAAATTTCTGAACGTAGGCGTCAAAAAATTATCGATTGTTCGTAGTTACACGCGCGTATAAAGAAACTTGTTCGTTCGTTGCTTAGAAAGAACGAAATTGAATGCAGCAGGAAGACGAAGACGAAGAAGAAGATGCAGAAGATGCAGAAGAAGAAGAAGAAGAAGAAGAAGATGATGATGATGAAGAAGAAGAGGATGAAGAAGACGGGTAAAAGCCGAGTCACTCACGAGTATCATGTTGTACCGGCCGGTCTAGCACTGGACACGTTGGCTCGTCGATCTTCCTCGGACTTTTCACGAGTTTTTCCTTCCCGGCTGCCGGATAATCCCGGTAAGGCTCGGCTAACGGTTATGAGAGTGTGAGCTCTTCGAGGCATCCTCTTATATAGCAGCCCGGTGGTGGATATGCCCGGTGCACTTACGAGGCGTCCCCACCAGTGGTCGCCTGGTGTACCGGGGCCCTACGGGGCCCTATGGCGCACCGCGAGGCCCTCGGTGCACGGCCAGAACTGGCGAGGATCACAAATCACCCCGAGTTCGATTTCCAGGCCGATAAATCAATGTTTATTGGCCGCGGTACGAGCCGTCGATCTCGCGCGCATTCCGCCGCACATCCGACCGGGGATGTTATCGTTCGCTTCCTCTCGACCCTTTTGCCTTCTTCGATTCCTCGTCATTTCGGGCCCACGAAGGCACCTACCTCCAACAATTGACACGTTTCGATCGTTCGACGATTTTTTAAATCGTTCGGAGAACCTGCGCGCAAATGACCGCGAGATTGTAGGATGTTGAATGTTAATGATACGTTGTTACTTTAAGGTAAAAGGGTTTTGGTAACCGGAAGTTGATGCTGGGAACGCTGAGATGTAAGACAAAATTTATTGTTCAATGGAGTTTTAAATTATATTGATTACTTAAGCTTAGAACGATCTCCTGGGGTTGCTGGTGATCCCACAAAATTTTTCATTTGTCTGAAAACATGTACATAAATATTAAAACATTAGGGTTATATATTATATAACCTATAATACATGACAGACATTACTAATATATAATGTGTTAAATATAGTATACTACAATGCAACCCTGCAATGTTACTTTGCTACGCCGAAAAATAGAAAGGGGTTGATCTAGGATTAATAAGCATTTGATTAAGTTTTATTGGTATTAAATTGTTCCTTTTGAATACGATGATTTTTTTTTTAATAACCAGAAGTTGATGTTAGAAGTACCAACAGGAACGTTACTCAAGTTTACCAAGCATAAAACAATAATTCTTAAATAAATATGTATAACCAACAGTCTCCAAAAATTCTACAAAGAGATATGCAAAATAAACAAATGGAAGTGAAAATACTCGAGGCTTTCCAGAAACAGTTTTTTCGACCGCCATCTTAGGTCTCCGACCTTGAAGATCAGTTGTGCCGCCATGTTGGATCCACGGTGATTTTTAAGAAATGAATTCGAATGCTCCAGAATTTGATCGGTATTTTCCGCAACGATCTCCCATTGAATCCAAATCGGAGCCCGTATAACATTCATAATCCCGTCAAAATGGCGCCCGAGGCTGCCGCCACCTGTATAACAATCCACCACTGTCTTTATTGTTGCTAGGGTCAATCGTCGGCGAGGAAAGGCAGAATCGAGTGGCTCCGCGTAACCAACAATGCCATAGTCGGTATAGATCGTTTCTCAACGTGCCCCACCTTAGCCTTCAGTCCCACATCATCCAGTGCTCGTGCCCCTTCTGCCGTGGGGCCCTAAAAGGGTCAGTCTTCAGCGGCGTGCACTGTCTGCAACAATCTTCTCAACATTTTTCTCGACCCTCCGCGAACTTCCCTTTCTTAGACCGCCGGTGGAAAATTCTTTGCCAACTTTTACAGTGCCTTTGCACAACCCGTTCCAGGATAAATGGCGCCTCCTCTTTGACCACGAACACAATGAAATAATCATAAATTGAAGCCAAGAAAGTAATTGCGATTGTTAGATTAAATCCGATGCGAACCTCGATGTGAAAACTCGCCTGAATTCTATTTGAAATGTTATAAAACTTTGTAAACTAATTTAATCTCTTTAGTGTGTATCCTGTAAGACGTGTTTCTTCAAAATCTGACATTGTCTACGGAACATAATTTATTGATTTCAAGTGTAAAGTAAAAACATGGAGTAAATGGAGTATAAATAATGATGGAGTAAATGTATAGTAAGTTCTGAGGTAATTATGCTTCACAAACTCGGATGAATGCGACCATTTCCCACCGATAATTTCTTTCACGTACAAAGTTAAAAGCGAAGCTAGCAAATAAATTGGCAATGCCCAATAATCAGCGTACAAGGACCATCCTGCAAATAAAGCTTGCAGCAAACTATACCAAGCTCTGTGACTTCAATACCTGACAAATCTGACGACCACGTATCCATTTTCAATCTGGTACTTCCTCACGTTTTAACACTTAGCCAACCGAACGGGGAGATCTCCCCGTTTTAAATTCAGTCGGTTGATGACCGAATGGATGATTAATGATAAATTAAAAATGATTGCTTAATTTCATTAAGATTTGCAAGAGGTACGAATGCTGAAGAAGTAATCGATGCCATATAAGTTTGCTTCATAATTTTTGTTTAATCGAACGAAACATCTTAATTTTATGACAATTTTTGTGGTTTCTAGCGCGGTCGNCATAATCCCGTCAAAATGGCGCCCGAGGCTGCCGCCACCTGTATAACAATCCACCACTGTCTTTATTGTTGCTAGGGTCAATCGTCGGCGAGGAAAGGCAGAATCGAGTGGCTCCGCGTAACCAACAATGCCATAGTCGGTATAGATCGTTTCTCAACGTGCCCCACCTTAGCCTTCAGTCCCACATCATCCAGTGCTCGTGCCCCTTCTGCCGTGGGGCCCTAAAAGGGTCAGTCTTCAGCGGCGTGCACTGTCTGCAACAATCTTCTCAACATTTTTCTCGACCCTCCGCGAACTTCCCTTTCTTAGACCGCCGGTGGAAAATTCTTTGCCAACTTTTACAGTGCCTTTGCACAACCCGTTCCAGGATAAATGGCGCCTCCTCTTTGACCACGAACACAATGAAATAATCATAAATTGAAGCCAAGAAAGTAATTGCGATTGTTAGATTAAATCCGATGCGAACCTCGATGTGAAAACTCGCCTGAATTCTATTTGAAATGTTATAAAACTTTGTAAACTAATTTAATCTCTTTAGTGTGTATCCTGTAAGACGTGTTTCTTCAAAATCTGACATTGTCTACGGAACATAATTTATTGATTTCAAGTGTAAAGTAAAAACATGGAGTAAATGGAGTATAAATAATGATGGAGTAAATGTATAGTAAGTTCTGAGGTAATTATGCTTCACAAACTCGGATGAATGCGACCATTTCCCACCGATAATTTCTTTCACGTACAAAGTTAAAAGCGAAGCTAGCAAATAAATTGGCAATGCCCAATAATCAGCGTACAAGGACCATCCTGCAAATAAAGCTTGCAGCAAACTATACCAAGCTCTGTGACTTCAATACCTGACAAATCTGACGACCACGTATCCATTTTCAATCTGGTACTTCCTCACGTTTTAACACTTAGCCAACCGAACGGGGAGATCTCCCCGTTTTAAATTCAGTCGGTTGATGACCGAATGGATGATTAATGATAAATTAAAAATGATTGCTTAATTTCATTAAGATTTGCAAGAGGTACGAATGCTGAAGAAGTAATCGATGCCATATAAGTTTGCTTCATAATTTTTGTTTAATCGAACGAAACATCTTAATTTTATGACAATTTTTGTGGTTTCTAGCGCGGTCGTGGAAGTGTTAAAATCCGAAACAAAGCTAGTAAGCCCGTGGTCAATTTTAGCTTACACTCCTCTTCAGGTCGCGCGTCGGCCAGCCGCTTCTAAGCCTGGGCCCTAAAAGGGTCACTGTCCAGCCGGTCCCACGTGCTCGTTACGACACGCGATCATCGGGAAAAGGCAAGAGAGTCGTTCGAATACCAGCGTGCCCGGCTAGAAAAGAACCGTCGGTCCCCCGTTATCGTTATCACCGCCGTAGAGCTGGAAACGCGGAACTCGAGGGACGCCGTCGCAGGGGCCGTGTAGGTCGTCCCCGGGCCGAGAATTTATGGTCGCCTTGTTGTCTCGTCTCGGGACAACGCGGACGCGTAACGAGTTCATCAATTCCATTGGTATTACTCACGCGGCGCGCGTTGCCAGCGCAACAAGTCGCCCCGATGAGAGAAGGATTTTTCATACGGTGCGTTCCTCTAACGGCCTAGCACGTGGGCGACTCGCGTTGGTTTTGACATTGGCACTAAACACAGCTCCGCGCATTAAATGGCCGTCGTTCGGTACTGTAGCTGACACACGGTGCAGCTGCGTGCCGCGCATAGAAACGAGAGAAACCTAACCGATGGGAAAAAGGGAACCGCCGCCGTGCCGTGCCGCGCCGCGCCTCGCCTCGCCTCGCCTCGCCGCACCGCGTGAAATACGCCGCGATTGTTTAAACGCCGGTTAGGCTACGGGATAGAGGATGCTACCGGGACCTGCTTTGTGGCGGTTACCACGTACCGGCTTAAAGGGATTCCTTGTTCCCGAATTTTTCCTGTGCTGGAAAACGTTCGTTCCTCGCTGCCTCCTGCGGAATTGAATTGTTTGTGGCGGCAGGAACCTGTGTTGGGATTACTTTGTTCTAGATGCCTCTTTGAGCATCAGACTTTGCGCGTTTATATTATCAAATAGGCTTGCGAACGTTAAGGGAAGCCTGCGTGCTTTTGGAGAATGGGGAATCAGGCTTGAAGCAGAACAGTGGCTGTAAATGGTTAGATGAAGGATGTTTGCACCTTAACTAGTCAGCAATGCATCTAAATTTATTTATTTACATAGTATTATACTGAAGTTTTAATATCGAACACTCCGTTCTATTCTGTTGGAAATGTCACGGTGCTATTATATATTTAAAGAAAGATGGTAGATAATTTACTAGACCGGTTAACTCATTGCGTTAAAATGTTTGCGTAAAATACGTTTTATTTAAATCTACGAATAGAGAAAATGAAACATATTAACTGAAAAACGAGTGAATAAGATTAATCGAACATTCTAAGAAACTGAAGAGAACCATCGATCATATTTGTTCGGCATATTTTCATTGATTTACACTCGTTAGTGCAACAACAAGGTCCACAAATTAGCCACACCTGTAGAGGAAAGGAAGAGAAACATTATCTGGTATTTTGTTTCGCGACATCCCGAGTCCTTCCAGTTTTATTTCTGGCTTAAGAGCGGACCTCGGGAGGCGGCGCAGGATCCAAGATGGCGTCCGGCATTGCAGCCAGTCCGAGGTCTTAAAGAAGCAAAGTCAATTC